TGTTGCTTGCATTGAATGCTGCACTGGCTCCACTTTGGTTTTGGGCGGCTGCATCCGCTTCGCCAAAGAGCGGGGTGTAGCGTCCCTCGTAAGGTAACACGATCTTGGTGGGTATTGTGCCGGGCAAAGGTATGTTCATGAGTGGATAGCTAGAGAGAGCGAGAGAGAGAAACAATGAGAATGATGAACAGAGACCAGATGCTTTTAATAGGCCTATTAAGCGAATCTTGTTAATTCAGCTATTTTGTTTTCTATACCCTGTAACTAGTGTTACATTTAGCTCTGACGATTGCTATCGTAGTAAATTGTGCACTATGAATAGCTATAATAGTTGCAAGTTCAATTATTTCATTATTTATGCAATTGTGCATTGTGACTATACATTCATTTTTTTTTTTTTTTTTTTCATTTTTTTAATAATTCAAAACTAATCAAACTTAGCATCTATCAAATTATTCTATGAACTATAATCATTTTATATAATTTTATTTAATATTTACTATATATGTTTTTTTATTTATATTAAATTATTATATAATAATACTCCATAGGTTGGGAAGATCCCAAGGAAGATCAAACTAGCCATGCAAATTATTTTATAAATTATAATCAGTTTATATAATTTTATTTACTATCTTCTATATATGTATTTATATAATATTTATATTTAAATTATTATAAAATATAGGTTAGGAAAATCCAATATTAGTGTAAATTTTGCATAAATAACATTAAAATATCTATAGATATTTACCAATTTTCCTTTTTATTTATTTTTAATTTGTAAACATAAATTATACTATATCCCTTTAAATTCTCATTTGTATAGGGTATTACCTCGTCAAGCACCCTTATCTTTATCAACCCAAACAGTTGTAACTTTTTCTCCCAGTGATCGTTAAATTTGTCATTTAACGCGTGTGTCCCCAACGATTTCCCCGACACATCAAAGGCCACATACATACATATATATTTGATTTATCAACAATTCGGTTTGATGCTCAGCATTTCATATATTCAAGGTTAGCGGGCCACTTCAAGACCAACAACAGCTAAAGGCGAAGCGCGACCGGGCCCAACTGATAAGAGATTAGGCAAAGTAACCAAATAAACACAAAGCACTTGCTGCATTACACCAGCGATAAGGCGGAGGCAGGCGCAACGGTTACTTGGCAACTGCAAATTGATGAGGCTTTCACATTTAAAGGTGAAACGAGGAAGCGCGAGAGGGAGAGGCAATGCTTGATGGATCCAAATAATCCTACATAAGAAACAAGAGCTATCTGTGTTTGATGTTGTCAACATTATCTCTGCATGTTAACTCAAAATGTTAAGCTGCCACATGCTCGACTGAATGTTAGGTTGATATTTGTTGATATATTGAACTATAAGTAAGCTATTTTTCGTCAGTTGTATAACTGATGTACCTTTCTATAACATACCTTTCTCGATGCAAATTGTTATTAAATAAATCATAATTTTAGCTTTAAAGGTAACTTGATAACGGACTTTAACTGTAAAGCTTTTACATTGACAATTCCTACCCGCATTTAATGAGACGTTATGGAACTGTACGTGATTTGTAATTTTATGATTTAAAAAAAAAATGTTGAACCAAATTTCTGAATAATCTTCACTTAAACTATTTTAATTGATTGTGTTCATATATGTATATACGGCATATATTTTTTATTAATTTAACTAGAAACAGAAGTATTAATTATACTCTAGTTATTCGGGTGCCTATGCAGAGCGAACAGGAAGTGCTCTACAAATAATTATAGTATTATGCGGTTTTACGTTCATCGTGCTGTGCCCCGTGAGACCGCCTGGAATTCTATATATTCGAATTCGTGCATGAAATGGAGCAAGCGCCACATGTGTAGGTCGCACACACATTAAAAATTGAAGTGTGTGCGAGACAGAGAGTGCGTGAGTGTATGTATTAGTGTCTGTTTTCGTGAGTGTGTGTGTATGTATTATTGAATTATTCAATAATTTTAATTATCTATTGGACACTGTGCCGCAACCTGAGCACTTTTTGGGGCCAGTCTGGGGTCTAGACATTATTTATTTATTTGTTCATCATTTCAAATTGATAAAAATCTGAAGTGCGCGTGGCTCGATGCGAAATCGGACAAATTTATGAACATATAGACGAATGTATTATGCATAATTGAAACGTTTTGCTCATTCTAAAAATAAATGTCTTGTTAGAATATTCTTAATGTGACGACAAAAAGGTGATACAATTGAAAGCCCTATATAACAGTGTATAAATGAATTCATACATATAGATATTACAATCAATTATGTAGCAAATAAATAACTATATAATTTGTATTTGTGCATCTCAGGCTTATCAGCAACAAATTCAATTTATTTATTATTATTGTATATAAATATGTATATATATGTTTTTGAATAACTCCATTGACGCATGCCGTCCCGAGATTTATGAGTTCAATTATTTTTGCTGATAATGAATATTATAATCTAACTGTAATTCGAGCAAATGCAATCAGCATTTGTCATTATTTTAGTAGGAAGTCTGAGGAAATACATAAGTTTGCTAGAACAAAATGAGAAAATTTCCAGAAACTGTCCTTAATTTAAGTGTATTATAATATTTTATATATCATATTATAGTCTTTCTTTATGCAATTTCACTTTTCGTTTCTTATATAAAAATCGTTTGCCATATCTTTTTATATTTGCTGGAATATAAAATATAAAACTTTTGTGTATTATCTCTGAGAAACTTTAACTTTAGATATAGCAACTTTTTCGACCTATACAAGTTTGGAAATACTTTTCAACGCTTTAAAAACTCTTACAACTATTCAAGGCTTTTAAATTTCAGTTTTTAGAAATATCTAAAAGTTGAATCACATTTGTTTGATAAGAAAATGTGATAAAAAAAATAAATGACATTTAGACATGCAATTTTAACACTGGGGTTGTTTATCCTGTGGGACACTGGGAATTACACATATGTGCTAAATACATATATATGTATGTATTCATGTACGCATACATTCATGTGTTTGGCAAACAATTCTCGCTAATAAACAACTTGCAAAATTTGTTTGCCTTTTTAAAATATCTATGACAACGAAGATTTTCCAAAGTTTACTTAGCAATTACCCTTACTGAAATACCAAGTACATGTATTTAAGAAAAAGTAAGGGATGAAATAAAGCTAACAATTAATCGACAAACTCTAACCGGCTAGAAGTCATGTCTACAAATAAAATTTAGAGCTATATCACCTTTTTATTGATATATAAAACATATATGAGCATACGTTAAAAATTGCGCGTGGCTAAAAAAAAGTTTTAAATAGATTTTTAAAACAATATAATTTCCATCGAAACACTAACTATAAATATTTCAAAAAATTATCAACAAGCATCGAGTGCTGTAAATAAGCTCTAAATAAAAATAGTTATATATGTCTACCCATATGTATAATATATTGTTTGTGATTTGACAACATTTTTAACATTACAGAGTATATGAGTGAACTTACCAAGACAGCAAAATCGCCATTAGCGCAATGCTGGAGGCGCATGTCGGATAACTGGATAAAAATAAGCCGTGCTTGTAGTAGAAATGCGACACCGAAGCCGGCAGACCGGATGAAGTCGACGCCGTTGTTGAGGCGGCTGCGTTTGGCGTTGAAGACTTGATTTTAAGCTTTGGCGATTTACCGTTGCCATTTGCAGTCAATGGCAGCGACGTAGACGCAGCAGAAGCAGCTGCTGCCTTGGCAGAGCCATCTGTTGCGGCTGCCATGCCGCCTATGCACAGCCTCTCACACACACAGATATCTAGTGAGAGAGAGCGCACGCGACCGGAATTTACAACACACACACAGGGACACGCGAGTACACACGGTAGAGTTATTGGAGTGAGAACGAGCGAACGAGTGTGGTGAACTTTAAGCGTTCGTTCTAAACGTAAACTTTGAGTTTTGGCCTTACTAACTTTTCAATGCCAAAAATTACGCAATTTCGCACATGCAACGCATCATTTGCGTAGGCAACAGGAACAGCAGTAGCAGAAGCAGCAGAAACAGCAGCAGCAGCGACAGCGATATTATTTATTAATAGCTTTGATTTAGGTTTTGCCGCTGCCGTCGTCGCTTTGATTTTCACTTGTATAAGAATATCGACACATTTTTGCATTCTGCTGTCTATTGATTTTTCTTTTTCTTGCGCTTCATTCGCACCTTTTAACCTCCGTTTGTAGTTGTTGCTTGTGTTGTTATTTTTGTTGCTGCTGTTGTTAATTAATTGACATTTTCGCGCATCTCTACAGGCCGCGCGCGCACACACACACACATTCGCAAACGGACACGTACACACACACACACGCCCTTACACAGATTCACTCTTACATTTGCCAGTCCATTCAATTTAGGAATGTGTATGATTTATGGTACTCCAGTTGTTATTATTGCTGGTGTTGCTAATGCATATTGTTATCAAATTAACACTTATTAAAATATCTGTTCGCCTATTTCTCAAATTCAGCTACGCTCAGCACTTTTTTCCTTTACGTTCTAGCTGGCTTTTTCTCTGTGCCCTTTTTGGTATTTTTGCACGGCTGCGACGTAGAAAGTTTAACAAAGCATTTTCAATGTTTCACCATTTGTTGCTAACTTCAAAAACACATCTATGTTGCACTTTATATATTTTTTTTCGTAAATTTTGTGCCGTTGTGTAATTTTGTTGTTGTATTAAACACGTTTTCGCTTGCGGCTGGCGGACAAGCTCGAGCGTACTCACGTCACGATAACTTTGAAAGAACAACATAAAACAGCTGAGCTGAGCGAACACCCAACCCACTGTGGGCACCCCAAAAACATTTAACACTGGCTCAACTGATAATGTTAACATCGATAACTTAACGTAAGCAATCACTGTTGGGGATTGGCCAATTTGGCTGTTAATTTCAATTTATAATTCATAATAATACCGATTCGATTTGCATTGTGAGCTTGATTATTTATTTAGGTATATTTTGTATGTCGCTTACGTTTAAAAATGTACATATTATTGTATGCATGCCTTTTGATTTTACACCAACTATCAAATGTAAAATTGCATTATAATTGAACGAGCTAGAACTTTTCGAACTGTTTCATTTCGTTTGAAGCAAACCTCAATGAGCATAAATCTTATTCCGAGTATTATATACATTTTAACATATTTTTTGTTTTGAAACAGCTCTAGACTAGACTAGCTATAGTCGGTCACTCGCTTCCGTAGGAACCAAGCCCAACTCTTGATGTTATTGCTGTTCTCCCTAACTCAACTAATAGTCTATAAATTGACGGGTATAATCGACATAGACATATCCTAGTGCCCATGAACGCGCTGTACTAGTCAATTTTAGTGGTCGGCATCGTGTACTCAGCTGTTATTGAATCTGCTGACATGTACTCCTGCTGCACCGGCATCTGATGATATAGCACATGATCCGAACCCGGTCCCGATCCCAATCCCAATCCCGCGCCCGAACCCGATACGGATCCCGTCGGCATGTAAGTCTCACAACCATCGACAGCATTATTATGTATGGCGTTCTCATTGCAGCGACTCTTCTTCGAGGCAAAGATCAGGGCTGTGCCCTTGCTGAGCAGCGGACAGAGCAGCGCCTGATGACAGCATGCAAACAGTCTGTAGTTCTGGCCCTGAAACGGATCCGACACGGCTGCACACAGCATATGATCCAGATTGATGCCCGTCAACTGCAAAGTGAAGGGGAATATTTTAGTTATTAAAATAAAACTAAACATAGGCTAGTTGAAGAAAATGTGTACATCTTTCTCCGCTTCACTAAATTAAGTATAGGAATATTCCGTTTATTCCTAAATCGAATTAATAAACGAACAATTTCAAAGTGATGATTTTGCCATCCATCTTCATAAAACCTTCTTCCATCATCATTTGTCATCCGAAAATGTTGATTTAGTTACAATATGTGAAAGGTCAAATTCATAAAAAGTCATATAATTTTCGTAATATTTTCATACGGAAACAAAAGGGCACAGCTGATTGAGAACCGAGAACCTTAAAGGGACTGTATAAATCGTGAGCTTATCACTTACTATGGAGAGCGGCGAGAGCAGCACAAAATGATAGAAGAGCATAAAGGCGGTGCCAATTTTGGACCATTTAAAGTCACCCAGATCCTCGATGGTGTAGGCGCCTAAAAGCAAACACGGTTTATTATATTAGATTACCACTTGACTGACTGACACTATATCGACTAGTTACCAGTCCTCAAGATGTATATGGGTATAAGGTAGAGCAGAGCGTGCTGTATCCAGTAGGTGGCCTGCTCGAAAGGATAGGTGCGACCCTCGACTTCGGGAAATAAAAACGCGAGGAAAGGACCATTCAAATTGCTCATCTGAATGCGAAACAGGGCGGTTGTGGTCTTCGTGGGCTTGGCGGCCAGCAAATATATCTGGAAAATGCAGAATACGGAATTATTATGTGGCGAGAGAAGGGTACAGTCAATGGCAGAAATGCAGTCATTGCGAACACATACATTTATACTCATTCAAATTTAAATCCGATTCGATCGGAAATGTGTATTATGCAGGCGGTAGCACCCGAGTGTGCAATATTTTTATTTCATTGGTTGAGAAGCGCCAAATATTTAGGTCTTACCTGAAGACACGTTTGCACATGACAGGGATTCAGTGCAAAGATCATCGATCCGCCGGCCAACTTGAAGCCCATCTCGATGCCAAAGATGACGGACATTGATATGAGCAGCAGCAGACGCATCGCACTATGCGGCTTCTGGATCTCGTGTGCGGGCGGTAAGCGAATGGGAGCTAAGCGCTTCCACGATCCATGCATGATGTAGACGAAGAGAACGGAGAGCAGTGCCGTTTCGGTCCAGCGCCGTCGATCGGTCATATAGTTGATGCACTCGGGTCCGGTTGTCCTAGGTATTTCGTCCGTTATGCCACCCACAGCCCAGTCCCAATTCATTTTGCTTCTTTTGTCTTAATGCGTCTACGTTCAGCTGTAGCCTCAACTCTATAAGAAACTGCAATATAGAAATGTGGTGAGAACTTTTAGCAACAACCCCCTAAGTCGGCTCTGGCATTGAAAATTAACCGCATTGCGTGTCGCTAACACCCAAAAGGCATAAAAACCAGATAAAGAAAATTGTTTTTTTGTTTGCAAAGCGTTTAAATAAATTGCTTGGCGCAAGCCTTCCAAACAAACCCCATTAGATGTGAGTCAATATATGTTCGTATAATGGAAAAAAATACATATCGAGCTCTCTTAAAGCCCAAGAAATACTCTCACAAAAAGAGTTTTTAATATTTGTTAAAGTATATATAAAAACATTGAAACATGATTTTATTTTATAAATATGAAAAGAACTACTGTAAGAAGAAGTTTCATCTAAGTAACATTCTACACTCTCGATTGAAAGGGGTCTTTAGAGTTTTTGCTAGTACTTACAGCTAATCTACGTTAAGAAGGGTATACGAACTTTTACTTAAATTTGGTCTTTGTTTTTCTCTTTTACTTCCGTCTTTGGTACGGAAATCGTGAAACGATACGGAGCATGGGTGAAAACGTTGATGCCAAACAGGTGTACGCTAAGCCCATTCACCCAAACCTCGTCGAATCAAGCCCACCAACCCTACTCAGCCCTCGCATTCCTTTTTTGGCCACATGCATACATGGGAGTGGCATGTGCATTGTGTGGGCCGCTTGTTATGTTGACGGCAATAAAATAAAGAAAAAAGCAAAAAGAAAAGAAAGCAAAGAGGTCAGCTATTGAGCTGGCTTTGGGGCAAGGTGAATCTGCAGGTGACCCGTGTAACAATACTCTCTAGCCATATATTACAAAACTAAATTGACAAAAAAATGAATTGTTGTTGACGTTGACAGCTGCTGCAGTTGCGTCTCGACTTGGACAAGTGCCAAGATCGAAAGCGAGATGCCAGCTGGTCAGCGTAGTACCCTTCCTATTTTCGTTCACAATAGGAGCAACTGTAGTTGCCTGCTTTGAAGCAACAAACACTGTGTTTTCGCAACAAATGTCCCCAAATATATACGCACTGTCATTGTAGCACATGCATTAGAATGCATAGTTATGGACTACTGAATATTTCGACGCCTGTATCCATATACATATGTATGCATAGAGTGCACTTTTACAATCACATATTTTAAAGCCTACTTTCCAGCGTTCGTTTGCTGATAAAAGTCAAACCCACACGCACACAGACTCATCTAGACTTGATGAGCCACATACATACATACATATCCAATGCCATACACACAGACACACGCGCAGACAGACAATAAACAGCCGTTATTGCACTTTTCATTGTCAAGAACACACAGAGAGAGCAAATAAATGTTCTAGTGAGTCGAAAACAGAGAAAGAGAGAGAGGACGCAACAGCAGAAATAGGAAGAAATGAAATGTTTACAAGGTTTCAGAATGGAGAGAGCGAGCAGAGCAGCGACAACAAAGCTTGGCCGGCCAAGCGCCATTTGTGCCAGCTGATTGCTAAAAGCAAGCGGCAGAGGGCGCCACCCCAGCAACACAGCAGCCATTTGATAATTCGATTTTTCAATGAGTTTAATACTCTAATGGGCCTATTTAGCAAAATACATATAATTTAACTGTGATTTACTTAATATATTTATTTATTTTTAATAAGTTTACACTTTTGAGTTACGCTATTAATACACACAGCCACGTGATTGCTTAGAAAGCTTTGCACGACACTTGAATCCACTTTTTTTCTACGTTGGACACATTTTGTCTATATGAGAGGGTATTCTTGATTTATTTATATTTATGCACTCGCTCACTTATGAAATTGCATTGTGAATTGCCTCGAGATGAAAAGCGCAGCAATAAAATAAATAGAATTTATTCTAGCAGCGTATGATAATACACCTCGCAACGTCAACTGTAAATGCGACTGCGATTCTTACTGACTGAATGTTGGCGCTCTGTCTGTTCTTATTCCCCAACTGGGGGTTGTTTTCGGTCGTGATTTGTTTTCGACTCCTTTCACAGCTATAAACATTTGGCATTGATGTACCATAAATTAAACTCGAATAGAACTTAGCTACTCTAATTGCAATAGGTATGTTTATCTTTTCGGCTCTAGCAATATTTTGAAAATGTACTAAAATATAAAACAAATTTGAGCATTTAGTCTCGCAAAGTGAACGTTGCTCGTTTCAAGTCCTTATGCATAAGTATATTCACCACAGCATTAGCAGTGCCAAATCGACCACCCTGTTAACTTGCTCAGAGAGCGTACGCTTTTGCGTGCTCTCTTTATAGCATTCGGTATGTTAAACGAGGTCTCTGGCAATTTGGCGCCAAAACAACGGATAAGCAGCGAGCAAAACAAATACATACGCACATACATATGTATATGCAATGCAAGCACAAATTTACAGGCACATAGCATATATACATATGTATATATGTATATGTACAGGCTGCATACATATATACATACATATGCATGTATGACAAATTGGATTATAAGCAGACAAGAAATGCGAGCGCGAATGAACGCAAAATGTTGATCTGCTGAGAGCAGCTTTGCCGATAATTATGAGATACATATGCATGTACATACATATGTATGCGCATTAGTGTATATGTGCACACGCACATATGGGTCAATGCATAGTGGGTGATATAATGAAATTTATCAGTATATTATTTAATGTCAACGCACTTTTTCAGTATCACAAATCCGTCAAATTTATTAGATGCAATATTTTATTGCTAAGGCTTTAAGTAACCTCGTAAAGGGCGCTCGACTAACAATAGTGCGCGACTTTACCGTTAGCGACCGCAATAGTCAAGCGCGCGAATGTAACTGTAATTAAGCGTATACTGAGGAGGAACGATGAAAACAGAGGACCATAGCATTAACAAGAATGCAATAAGTGAAATTGACCGACTAACAGATGACCTGTACAGTGTACACGTAATAAATCTGTCAGAATCGTCAGAATTTATAAAGGGCATTCGCTCTCAGCGCATATATTTCGAAGCAAAATAAGCTTACATTTAAGTTATAGGTGAATAACAAGAGAATCTATTTTCTGAAATGACACAAATAGTTTTACATATACATACATATCCATGTATGTACATATGTCACTATCAATAATAATTGGAATTTAATCTAGTCCACTCCACTCATATATAGGGTATAAGAACTGTATGCGACAAAGCAAGTGGCATGATATCTATGGAAAATGGAAAACGAAATGCGAGTAGAACAGCAACAAACACATCCATGTAAATCAAATTAGCCAAATGCAGAAATAAATTATTTACAGTTATGGTGCACATCCGCTATTACAATGCCATTCCTAATAGCAATAGTTAACAGTTGCCCTTGATTAGATTGTACACACACAGGCACACACACACACACATACACATACAATAAATGTGTATGAAAGGCAATGCCTCTAATAATTAAACTAATCGATAAATCGATGTGACAAATGATAGTTAAACACCTGATGTGGCATGGGTCAAATGGATCGAACTTGTGGTAACGGAATAACGGTAACTAAGAAATGCAAGCCCAGGGCTGCAATGAAAACAAGTAGACGGCACCTCTGCTGCATTTCGCCTTCGTTAAATAAAATAAATTGATATTCATACTATATAGATTTAATATATAAGTATTCATTTAAATAATTTTGAAATTTTTATAAATAATTTGGATACATAAATTTGGGAATCTACCAAATTTGTTAATTATATGATACCTAAATTACAATATTATATACTTTCAGATGTTGAAATATTACCATTATCTGTTAATTAATGAGTTTCCTAGACGATATCATTTTCTTGTCTGATACGATGATTGGGAAACATATGCATCCTCCAAGGAGTGATCAGTTATATATGTATATAACTGTACCCCGAAATTACTACACACACTCCTGGTATACGATAGTATTCTCAGCGTAAAATCAAATATGTATATTCGTTCTGCTCTAAACGTTTATATCTATTCGGAACGAAAATTTTGTACTATATTAACTATGAAAATTATTAAAGCTTGACTAACTGGAAAATCTATCAAAGGTGTATACATATACAAGTATATACACAATCTATCAGCATTTACGCGGATTCGGAACATTTAACAAAAGGTGATCTGTGAGTGTGAATGTCTAATTCTTTGGCTTGCCTTGGAGCTCTGTTTGGATTTGATCCAAGGTCTTGCCTTTTGTTTCAGGCACAACAAAAATGAAAAGAAAGGCCAACAGTGCGACGCCTGAGAACATCCAAAAGGTTGCCGCCGGCCCCATGTGGTTCAAGCATTCTGGAAAAAATTTGGTGACAAGAAATCCAAATATCCAGGTCAACGTGCCAACTATAGCGCCGCAGAGCGGCTTCACATCCTCCGCAAAGAGCTCGGCCATGATCAGCCACGGCACGGGGCCAAAGGCCATCGAGAAGGCGAAGACGAATATGCAGACCACTAGTATCGACAGCCAGCCCACGTTCTTGTGCATTAGCCAGTGGAAGTAGACCCCCAACAGGAAGTGGCTGACGCACATTACGGCAGCGGCGACGAACAGGAATATACGGCGCCCGCCACGATCGATGAACAGGATGGACGGTATGACGGCAACGCAGCCAACGATTCCGATGATAATGGTGCAGACCTCCGACGGTAGTCCGGTTCCGGCGTCCTCGAAGAGGGTCGTCGTATAGAAGGCAACGGCGTTGATGCCAATAAACTGCTGCAGGGCGAGCAGCGTTATCGATATGCCAAGGCCCTTGCGGGTGGTCTTGCGGCACATACCGTCGTGCATATTGACTTTCTCTTTCTTAGTCTCGGCAGCCATGGCACTCAAATCTGCGGATATATCCGCATCCTTTCCGCGCAGCCAATACAAAGTCTTCTCCGCCTTATCCAGTTTTCCTTTCTGCACGTAGTAGGCGGGCGACTCGGGCATCCAAATGAATAACAAGAAGTACACAGCGGGCATGATGGTGGAGAAGATGTTGAAGACCATTAAGCTGACATAGCCGCCGACGATGTAGCTGGTCAATATACCAATGGTAAGCCACAGCTGATAAAAGCAGCCCATTATGCCGCGCGATGCCACTTCGGATATTTCCGTATTGTAGATGGGCACCAGTACACAGTAGACCCCGACCGAGGCTCCCGTTAAGAAGCGTCCCACCTGCGCCATTATCACATGCGTCGCTGCAGTGATCAAGATCCAGCCCAGCAGCAGTGGAACCACCACCGCCAGCATCACTATTTTGCGTCCACAAACTCCAGACAAAAAGGCAACCGGCAGACAAGTGCAAGCAGCGCCCAGAGGAACCAGCGCGGCCATCCAGCTGAACTCGTCATCGCTGGGCTTGAAGCGCTTATATCCTTTCCCTTTTGATATTAGCATTTGGGCTGGTCCCGACCAACCCAAAGCCATGCCCAGGCACAGGGCGCCCATTGAGCCAATTATGCCGGCAATATATTGTCTTTTCAAGCCCATTTATAAATAGGTGAAATCATTTATGTACACATATAATTTATTAAAATTATATATTTTTATATATAAACTTTTTTTTTATTTATTTCTTTTTTTTTTTTAGTTTTTACCAACTGATGTGTGTCTGTGTCAGTTTTAAATTACTACAGTTCAAAGTGTGCTAGATTCTAGAAAACGTTAGAAGATTTAAACAGTTTTTCTTTAAGTGGATCTGGTATCTGTGGCCAATCAAGCCTGGATCTATTCTCAGCTATACCTGCACCACGATACACCGAACATAAGCCATGCAATATTGAATCTATATCATGATGTATTATACCAATACTATCTAGGCTATTCCACCTATGCCATACTTATGCTACATTGTGTACTGCATTATACCTTTACTGGTATAAAATAGTGGAAGAAAATACAAGAAGTGTAAATCAGTAACCAAAAATTGACAAATGAAATTCCCGTAAGCCATCAGTTCAGCAGTGATGCGACCCAGTAATGAAAGGTTAAACAATATTTATTTACCAGAGAGTATAGCTTGAATATCATCCAGAGCCTTGTTCTTTGTTTCTGGGACGAAAAAAATCACGAATACACAGCCCAATATTGCGAAAATTGTAAATATCCAAAAGGTATAGGAAGGACCGATGGCATCTAATGTGATGGGAAACAGTTTGGTCACACAGAATGCAAAAAGCCAACTGGAAGTGCCAACAATTGCACCGCACACCGGCTTCACGTCCTCTGAAAACAGCTCGGCCATAATTAGCCACGGCACTGGGCCGAAGCCCAACGAGAATCCAATTATAAATAAGCTTATAGCTAAAATTGGCAGCCAGCCAACATCCTTATTTTTGAGCCATTCAAAATAACATCCCATCACTAGGGTCGTCGCACCCATCACAATTGCCGAGATGAGCAGCAACAGTTTGCGGCCAGCTTTCTCTATTAGTAATATCGCAGCTATCGTGGCGACCACCTGGACGACGCCAATGATAATCGTACTAACATTGGCGCTCAGATTCGTGCCAGCTTGAATGAAAATGGTGGTCACGTAGAATAGAATGGCGTTGATGCCTGTCAACTGCTGCAATAGCATGAGTGCGATTGCTATACCCAGACCCTTGAGTGTGACCTTACGCGAGAAGGCTTCTTTATAGGAGGCAGTCTCCTTTTTCGAATCTGCTATCATCGTGGTAATTTCTCCGGCAACATCCATATTATCGCCTCGCAACCACTTCAATGCCTTCGTTGCCTTCTCTATCTCGCCCTGTTGGGCAAGGAACACCGGCGATTCTGGCATCCAAAACATAAATAACACAAACAACAGTGGCAAGATGGTGCACAGGATGTTGACCACGAGTGGGTCACAGTAGGCGCCCACAATAAAGCCGTAGAGAATGCCATGCACAATCAGTAGTTGAAAGAAGCAGCCCATCACACCGCGTACTGAGAGCTGGGCGATTTCTGTTGTGTAAACGGGTGCCATAACACAAAACGAGCCGCCGCAGGCGCCAATGATAAATCTGCCTAGGTACAGCATGGCCGAGTGTTGCGCACCGAGAATTAGTCCCCACCCAATTAAATATGGTATACATATGTAGAGCATGATTAGTCTTCGTCCAAATTTGGCAATCAATATTCCCACGGGTATGCACATGCAAGCAGCTCCAAATGTTAACATCGAACTAATCCAGCCCCAACTGTCTCCCGATACGCTAAATTTGTAAGCTTTTCCTGATTTTATCGGGGTCTCCATCGGTCCTGTCCAGCCAATAGAGGCGCCCAAGCAAAATGCTCCGAATGCCGCTGCTAAGCCAGCGAAATATTGTCTGAGTACAGGCATACTTAATCTCTAATCCCTAATACTTGTTCTCCCAATTTTCAAGTCAATAGATGTCCGAAAAGATAAAACTTATTTAAGAGAGAAAATTAACTGCCGAACTACGCATTGTTCGTTAGACATTCAAACCGAATTCGGTAGGCCAACTATGTTCGAATTTGAAACTTATATTCTCCTTTGAATTGTTGCCACTTTATGGAGCAACAAAGATAAATTGTTTCGTATTCACCACAACTCTACGACACTAACAGTGCGCGTCACAAATGTCGTGAGTCGCGTCCTGTTTGAAATCGCTACTGACAGTTTTATTTCCTTTAAATAGATCCCTCACTTGAACAGAACTCCTCTTGACAAGCCCACAGATTACATAGGCTAAGTGGGTATTGAACTAGATCTTGAAGTCAAGCACGGTATTAGACTCAGATATGCATATTATTTTGTTTCATTGAATCACAGTTGCTATATAAAGCCAGCGACTGCATAATTACTAACTTTATTCTGGATGCTTTTTAATTACAATTTTTTGTCTTTAGAGAAGCCATGCATTGAAGCTAAGTTCAGAATCAACAGCTACATAAGTATTATGGTAGTCATATCGGACTTGTTCTCGATTTTTAGACGAATTTTCTCAAACTCCAAGGTCGTGTATGACCTTTTTAGCTTTGTAGGGAGTTCTTAAGCTCTTGATGCAAACACTGAAATTTATTGAGTTTGGCTTCAATCTTATGAATTTTAAAACTCGAATTCGAACTCGATTGCGACTGAGTGCAATTATTATGAAACAATCGTCGGCATCTTAAAGAACAAATGGTCTCGTATTCAGTCCGTAGCAAAGGATGAATGTAAGCTTGTTTTTTGTGATATTTATTTAGTAACGGTATTCCGTTTACCATCCATCATTTCTGTATTATCGTCAATCTTTTTAGTATTTGGCACTAGTAAGTATATAAATATCAGGCAAAAAAATGCGAGGGCTGTAAATATCCAGAAACATACGGCCATATTCCAAACATGCAATATATATGGAAATGACACCGCCCCGCAAAAACCAAACAGTTCATTAAGCGTCCAAACGATACTAGCTGACAGAATTTCAATATTCTCTCCGAAAAATTGGCGCATCATAACGAACGGATAAATACCCACGCCCAGTCCAAAGAAGAAGGAGAAACAACAGAAGCTCACAATGGGCAGCCATTGAAGCGTATGCACGTAGGTATCCTTCAGCTGAAAATAAATGGATTGCAAAGCACAATTTAGAGCCACCATTATGATCGACCACATCATCAAAGTTCGACGACTGTCAAATTTGTGCACCGAAATCAGGGTAGATATTAGGACAGAGATTCCAATAAATATGGTGGAAACTTTGGAGTCCATGAAAATTTGGCTATCGGCCGCGTTTAGCATAAGTGTGACATACATTATGATAGCAATGCCGCCACATAAGTTCTTGAATGCCGCCATGATCGTGCATATAATAATTGACTTGGCCGAGGCTAAGCGCCGCAATTTCTGACAGCTGTACGTATTATTGTTTCGAAGCGTCTCTATGGTTCCCATGATGTCGTCATACTCTCTAACCGCATCCATATGCTTGCCCCGTAGCCATTGAAGCGAACCAATGGCCTTCATCTTCATGTTCTTAAGCATATAATACACCGGCGATTCCGGCATCCACACGAAGGTGAGCAGAAACACGGCCGGCGTAACGGCGCAGCCGTAATTTAGGTATCGCATATTATTGAAGGCGCCCAGGACATAAGCATATAGGATTCCCAGAAAATAGAATATTAGGGGGAAATTGCCAATATATGGCTTCACTTCCAGTTGCGATATTTCCACACAGTACACCGGTGCGATTATAATATAACAGCCGGCGCTTAGGCCTTGCAATAGCCGCGAGAACATGAGCAAATACATATTAAACGGATAGATCGTTAACGCCCATCCTGCTATGTATGGGGGCACCGCTAGCAGCATTATTAGCTTCCGGCCTATACAATTGGCTAAAGCACCGGCCGGCACCATCGTTAGGCCGCACCCTAAGTTGGCCATTGCACAGGTCCAGCCATATTGGGTCAGACTCACTGCAAAACCATAATATTTTTGTTCCGTAACCGCGAAAACCGCAGGCGCTGACCAGCCAATTGTGACACCAAAATTAAATACGCTGAGTGATGCTAAAAGTGCTGCTATATATTGATTATGTCCACCAGGTCTGTCCCAGAAACTTGACATATCCTTTAAAATTTTGATTAAAAAAGTTCAAGCTTATTCCTACTACTCTAGCTATAATACATACATACATATGTATGTATGTACATAAAACATAAACAGAGACAGAGGACAGAGTCAATGTTAATGGCGTTGCCACGTAGGCTATATTTTGTAGCCGATAGCAAAACCATAAATGCGATGTTAACAGTGAGCCACAACAGTTGTAGATTACATGCAGCCCACTTCACGCAAATGCTGTTGACTTTGTTTTGATTTTGCATTGTGTTGATTGTTTTGCGCATTACATGTTTGCAAATTAGTCATCTTGAACTCAATACATAGTCGAGAGAAACATTTATTGCGATTTCTATCGACAAATTGAACAAATTAAAAATGTCGCTCGTTAGTGACGATGAGTGGACACAGTTTAAGGTAATTTTTACTATACTAAGCAACTCAACAGAGTAATTGACACATCTAAATATTGTAGACTACCCATAACAAGGTATATGAAGGCGATGAAGACCAAATGCGTCGTTCGTTATACGAAAAAGCTAAGGCAAAAGTCGAGGAACATAATAAAAAGTACGAGAATGGCGAAGTAACTTGGAAAATGGGCATTAACAATATGTCGGACTTTACTTCGGAGGAATATGCAAATAGGTGTGGATCTAGAGCACCCAAATAAAGAATCTCAAATAGTTAGCATTTATATATATAATGTACGTGAACTTTACCGATGCACATTTACAAAACGCGACTAACATTATATTTTATTAAAATCCAATTTAATGTGTTTGTTTTTAATCTGGTCACACTGTGAACAGACAACTGTTGCTATATAGCCAGGCATACTGTATTTAAAATATTTAAAAAATGCGTAGTAAAAACAGATTTGTAAAAGCAAGTTCGAAATTCGAATATTACGTTTTAAAAACAAAACAATGAACAGATGAAGAAACATATGTTACTCCACAAAAGTATCGATGCCAGCATCAGAGCGATAATTGTTTGCACCCCTGGTAGGAAATGTATTTCTCAATTTTCCAAACTCGGGTCACACTGCAGTCGACATATAACTTTTAAAAGTTTGTAAACTTTTCATTTTGTTCACATTGCCACAAAAACGCAACGTTGTGCGTTTTCACTCTCTCACATTTAAGAGCCAACACTGTCTGAGGGGATCGGGCACAAGCTAAACTAAAGTGTACCTTTTATTGCAGACAAACAGCTGAGCAGCAACACCCAACAAGATGTCCGGAATTATGCGTGCGCCATCGATTTTGGCCAAAACTGCATTCGCCTCAATGGTAGGTATCAATGCAATTCAATTAATTGTTTGACAAAGGTATACATTTGTCAGCAAGCTAACTAATTCGTCAGCGAGTATTTCAAAATCTCGATCCAGCCTCTAGAAGTGCTACCAAAATTTCGGCCCTCCCTGAGCCCGTGGCAGTGTTATGTAATTTGTTAAATTTGCGCCTGGCTAACAGATAGCAACAAAGGTTTCCCTATCATTGCGTAAACCCAACACACATTACGAATTTGAATTTAACTCGACTGCAATTTTCCTTGCTCAATTGAAATCGAGAGTGCAAGTGATGCACAGAGGTTATGTTGCATGTACTACGCACCGAAATCGCCCCGTGAGACAAGTTTGGCAACAGATGCGACATCAAAATTCGGCATTCTGATAGGCGATGTTAGTGTGCGTTTTGTGTGTTATTTAAGTGTTCAGTCATGCAGATAAGCCCCTACATTCAATGTCCACATGCGAGAGAGGCGCGACCGCTGCCACACAGCTGATTATACAATGCAAATTATTGATATGAGCTATATTTTAAATGCTAATTATTACATAAGCAATTAAATGTTTGTGTGTGTGTGTGCGCGTTCTTCTAAGCGACGGTTTAACTGATAATCCTCAATACAAAGCTTTGTGAACGTTAGTCAATGGGAATCGTCCCATGGCGTGTGCGGCTCTCTTCAATCTGCATTATTGCCCGATACACACATTCGCTCTTGACCATATACACATGTGTGTGTGTGAATGTGCAGTTGTTTTCCATTTTTTGCAAAAACAAAAGTCATCTTATCTGAACATTTCCATTAGCACCTCCAGTTCAGATATCGCGATAATTGTGCGCGCAATTCACTAAATTGACCTAATGCAGGAGTGGCAGAATTTTAGGCTCCGTCCCGTGTTATTTTATGTCGCTGATATGGGGACCAGTGCTACCGGATCTCCATATTTCCAATTGAGTCAGATTGGAATTGCCAATGGATTTATGAAAACTGCAGGTTACTCCGCATTAGAGATAGTTTACTCTTCCCTTTAAAAGCATATTTCAAATCAACGATCAGGCAATATTGCTATAATATTGAAATTTTAATATGCTTGGGGTATCACATTTTCCCGCTAAATCGGGCTTCATGCAATATCTAAATTCTGACAGCACTGGCGTTATATAGCTATAGCGTATCAATTTTTAAATGTAGTTATTTGATTGCAATCATTAAATTTACATCCGTTATTAAATACGACTGCATTGAAGCAGCTGATCGTAAATTGCAAATCATTCGTGTGTTAGATGCTTCGTAAATGACGTGACTGATTGCAGTTATCGCGTAACGTTCCATTAAATCTAATCAGCATGCAATTTGTCAATTGCAGCAACGTGTGGCAACAGTAGCTGCCGCAGCGGCGCAGCAGCGCCGCAGCTATCATATAACCCCCGGATACCAGAAGGCTAAATCAGCGAATCCCGATGCCATCTCCAAGCAATATCCGATTGTAGATCACGAATACGATGCGATTGTTGTCGGTGCCGGCGGCTCAGGACTGCGTGCTGCCTTTGGTCTGGTCGCTGAGGGCTTCCGCACAGCGGTTATCACAAAACTTTTTCCTACACGCTCGCATACGATTGCTGCGCAGGGAGGCATTAATGCAGCGCTTGGCAATATGGAGGAGGATGACTGGAAGTGGCACATGTACGATACGGTGAAGGGCAGTGACTGGCTGGGCGACCAGGATGCCATTCATTATATGACACGCGAGGCACCCAAGGCTGTCATTGAGCTGGAGAACTACGGCATGCCCTTCTCTCGCACCCAGGATGGCAAGATCTATCAGCGTGCCTTCGGTGGCCAGAGTCTGAAGTTCGGCAAGGGTGGTCAGGCCCACAGATGTTGCGCCGTTGCGGATCGTACCGGCCACTCGCTGCTACACACCCTGTATGGCCAGTCGTTGAGCTACGATTGCAACTACTTTGTGGAGTACTTTGCTCTGGATCTGATTTTCGAGAACGACGAATGCCGTGGTGTGCTGGCCCTTAATTTGGAGGATGGTAGCCTGCACCGTTTCCGTGCAAAGAATACGGTCATTGCCACAGGTGGCTATGGACGCGCCTTCTTCTCCTGCACCTCTGCGCATACCTGCACTGGCGATGGCACCGCATTGGTGGCCCGTCAGGGTCTGCCCTCAGAAGATCTGGAGTTTGTGCAGTTCCATCCGACTGGAATCTATGGTGCCGGCTGTCTTATCACTGAGGGCTGCCGCGGTGAAGGTGGCTATCTGATCAATTCCAAGGGCGAACGTTTCATGGAGCGCTATGCACCTGTCGCCAAGGATTTGGCCTCTCGCGATGTTGTCTCTCGCTCCATTACCATTGAGGTTATGGAGGGCCGTGGTGTAGGACCCGAAAAAGATCACGTATTCCTGCAGCTGCATCATTTGCCGCCCAAACAGCTGGCTGAACGTCTGCCCGGCATTTCAGAGACTGCTATGATTTTCGCTGGCGTCGATGTCACCCGCGAACCTATCCCCGTATTGCCCACTGTGCACTACAACATGGGTGGCATCCCAACTAATTATCGTGGCCAGGTGCTGACCATTGACGAAAACGGCAAGGACAAGATTGTGCGCGGTCTCTATGCGGCCGGTGAGGCAGCCTGTAGCTCTGTGCATGGCGCCAATCGATTGGGTGCCAACTCCCTGCTGGATTTGGTGGTGTTCGGCCGTGCCTGCGCTAAGACCATTGCCGAGGAAAACAAACCCGGCGAGAAAGCACCCGAGTTGAAGGACGTAAGTCAACTATATATTAAAAAACTTCCATTAGAATTTTTTACTGATTCGCTAAATCATTTGCAGAATGCTGGCGAGTTCTCTGTAGCCAATTTGGATAAGCTGCGTCATGCAAATGGCAACATAACCACCGCTGATCTGCGCCTCAAGATGCAGCGCTGCATGCAGAACCATGCTGCTGTATTCCGCGATGGACCTATTTTGCAGAAGGGCGTTAGCGAAATGAAGGAGATCTACAAACAGTTCAAGGACATCAAAGTTATTGACAAGTACGTAGCTCCAAAATCTACCGATGATTGCCTATTAGATATTGAATTTACGCGAGTCTAGGTCGCTTGTGTGGAACTCGGATCTAATTGAGACACTGGAGCTGCAGAATTTGCTTGCTAATGCTCAAATGACCATCGTCGGAGCCGAGGCGCGCAAGGAATCACGTGGCGCACACGCGCGTGAGGATTTCAAGGATCGCATCGATGAATACGTAAGGAAAACATAAATAATGTGCTTTCACTCGACTGCTTAAAAATGCCTCCTATTGTTTGTCTTATACAGGACTATAGTAAGCCCTTGGAATCGCAGCAGAAGAAGCCCATCGACCAGCATTGGCGTAAGCACACGCTCGCCTGGGTGTGTAGCGATGATGGCGATGTGGAACTCAAATACAGACCAGTTATTGACCAGACTCTGGACAATGAGGTAGAGACGGTGCCACCAGCAATTCGTTCTTACTAGAAGACGCCACAAAACCTACAAGCATACACACACACACATACACTCGAACAGAAAATAAACACACACACACTCGCATGTTTACTTAACAGTTAACAGGCTAATTGTGCAAATGATTCGCAAGTCGCAATTTCGTTAAAAACTAAATTATGCCATGTTTACGACGATTGGTTTTTGATGTCAAAATTATATTATGTAGTTGATTTCAATGATTGTATATTTCGAAAAGCCTTTCAGTGTTCTCGACAACACACAATTTATCTCCCAACATTAAATATATATGTGAATATACATATATTTTCGAAAACTGAGCGACTGCTGTGCAAAATTTAGTCAGTGACGACGACACCTTTTTCTGTAAACAAAAACGTCAGGAATAACAATTTTCTAGTATTTGTTAATCTTATTAAATTATTGAAAACAATGATGTATAAATATATATAAACAAAAAAATACTAAATGCTAAAAAGAAAATTACATTTATAAAACATTAGTAATAATGATCAGGCCAGTAGCGCTTATCAACAGCAACATTATTACTATGGATAATTTATAGGAAAGAACTGATATACAAGAACTTTACTATATATTTTAAACAAGCTGCAACTAATTGTCACTGGCCTGATTATCATTTAAACAAGAAATTATTGAGCATGACTATTTGAACAAATTTTATCACTGAAAAACATGCATCTGCTCCGGCTTCAATTGTAGTTCCTTCAAGCTGTTCACCGCGGCTGTATTAAAGCCGGCAGGTCCACATACAGCCACAAAGCTGAAGGACTCGGCTTGCTGCCTACTGAAAAAAGGCGCCAGCAGCTCTTGGGAAATACGACCACCCGCCTCCGACAAAATGTTTTTGCAAGTGAAGCGTTCATCAGCATCCTGTAGAGCTTGAAACTTGTCCTTAAGCCAGATATCGGCTTGAGTCTTGTTGAAGTACATCAGGTGAAGACGTTCGCTGTGGGAAATCCTTTAATCAATTAGAGCATAAGAAGATAAAACTTGAAACACTTACAGGCGATTCGATTGCCGCTTGAGCAAAGGCCGCAGCAGACTTAGGATGGGCGTAATACCGCTGCCCGCAGCCAACAGCAAAATGTTGCGATGTGCCTCTAATGCGGATAGCCCGAAATTGCCACGCGGCAGACTCAATTGCACTGTGGAACCTGGTTGGAGCTGCTTTAACTGACTGGAAACTGCTCCCTTTTCATAGTGCTTTATGAGAAATTCTTGTCGAGTGCTGGGACTCGCATTGGCGTCGATTTGTTCGCTGTTAGAAAGCAGGCAGTTGTGTGGCACGGGTGTATAGCTTCGCTCTAGCAACTCACCATTGTGTGGGAGCTGGATATCCAGGTGATAGCCCACTGGCAGATGCACAAGCACCGATTGCTCAATGCTTTGCAGGCACAGCTCAAAAGAGTCATGATTAAATGCCTCGCAATTCAGCACCTCATATGTTAAGTGCTCATCACACGTTGAATTCAGCTTACTTATCTCATGGCTGCCATATGTCTGCCATGGCTCAGCCACCTGCTTGGTGAGCACCACTTCGATTTTGCCCGTCTCTGGACCCACACGCACAGCTTTAGGCGGCCAGACAATGGCGGCGCTAATCTTGAAACTGAAGACATGCCAGATGTTCGCCAATTGCACGCGTACCTCCAGCTCCACATCAGAAGTGTCCTTCCGCTTTAGCAGCAATCCTGGATTAGCCAGGCGTCGCGTATAGAAACAGAGTGTCAATTCACTGCGCTGTTGAATCCAATCGAAACGCGGCACAAGCTCCGTTGGGGCTGGCGGTGGACGGATTAAATCTGTTTCTTCGTTGACCACAACGTTATCCTTCAACGGACCCACATAGCATTTGCCTAGCAACTGAGGGTAGTTAACCCAGGCATGCACTTCATCGAACAGCTTGGTAGCATCACGTCCAACACCGCGCATTAGCTCATCTACTCCGCCCGGATGAAAGTCCATATACCGAGTTACGTTGAATACTTTGCCTCGTATAGCCATCCAGGCATCGTTCACCTGATTGTGAAGCGCCAGTTCACTACGACTAACTGGTACCACGCGTCCTCCAGTGCCAGAAAGATCAGCACCCGAATTGCATAGACGTATCCAGCTCATCAAGGAGTAGCCAGGCTTCAGGGCGCATTTGTTGCGTGGATTGCCTGTTGCGGAGCCCGAGCTCTTCAGTTTCTGTGCCGCTGAGCTGGGCAGCTGTAAGCTATTGACAGCTAAGGAAGCCACAGCTGGTGGCTTCAGAGGGGTTTTATCCATTGATGCTGGCGGTTTCAACTGCGAATCACTCATGGTGCAGTTAAATTGTTATTATTATTGGCTCAACAGTTGAAATCGATATAAGCGGTTACTCATAAACATCAGCTGATTGCCATCGATAGTAAAATCGTGCAAACAAGTTCAGAAGTCGATAGATATCGAAAGTTTAAGTAGTCAATAGGAAATTAAATAAACTGTACAGAATCAAGCACTTAAAAGTTGTACAACTACAAGAGCATAAATTGTATGATTTACAAAATGTTAAGTGCTAATGCATTCATTTTGAGTATCGCAGTCACACATACATATGTGAGCTGCATACTGTGCTAAGCTTGTGCTAGTCCCCGACAAATGCGGTTCGTTTTGTCAGTATTCAACGAGTCGGTCAGCTGTTCGGATCACTGTAACTGCGGGTAAAGTTTCTGTCGCCTGATAGACTTATTTTGTGTATGCATTTTCTAAGAACATTATACAAATATCGTGTCGATTTTGTGCATGAAACACAAAACGAAGACCACAAAATACAAAAAGAATTAGCTGTCATTACTGTGTGTAATTTCACACGCATAGAAAAAAGTTCCCTTTACTTCTAAGTGTGTGTGTGTGAGTGTGCATTTTTGAATGGAATAATGACATAAATTGGCGCATTATATGATGCTTCATTGGCAAACTGGTTTAATGTCAAATAAGTGATATACAGTGGAAAATTTAAACCGTACTTATATATGCATTGCATAAATACATCAACAATTACTTGTGTATATATCGGTGACCGTTTGTATGTATTAAGCAATCAGAGCGACAATTTGCTGAAGCTAACATCAACAAACAGGTTCTTCTTTGTGTGCTATATTAAATTTCCTTATACATGAGTGCTTCATCCTTTTATTTCATCATTATTAAATTTTTATTTTCATATTCTGCATGATGTCATTGTCCAGCAAACGTTTGCCGGTCTTTCGTTTGCTTTGCCACCTTTCGCCACCCTCTTCCACATATACACACACGCTTACGCACAGGCACATGCACACACAAGCATACAAATACAACCACACCCGAAATCCGCAAAGTTGCTCTATTCATTTCACTATTGAATTCGTCGCGCGCCCGCTGCTCTATAGGTTTGACACTTAATTACCTGCACACGCAACCAAATTCGCTCTTCCGCTGACTGCCAGTCACTCCTAGCTCTCTCTGTCCTCATCTCTTAGCTAGCGGTTGTTCTCACGCAACAAGTGTTAATAACATTTTAAACAGGCCTTTCACATACAAACGTATTAGAACCTTGCTCACGGATAGGTTTGATGATTTTAACTGCAATCTTATCGGGAATAAACCCCAGTGTTTTCTTTTATTATACATTATCTTTGTTTGATAATATATCAACTTTGCGCAAACCAATTGGTAAATTTAGTATTAATAATTAGCCGTTGATTCATATGCATGCACTACAAATTTGTTGTCATGTGTAAATTGAAGCGTGTCCATTTGTAAAGCCGCGCAATTCAATTAAACTTATTGAGAAAGCGAACGGTGCTCGACCAAATTGCGATATGCTGCCTTAAACAAATAGCTGATAAGAAATTGTAACAATATCAACATCAATATTGAGAGCGTGTTCCCACCGACGACCGTGACAGACAATTACACAATGTCGCCGCAATGAGTGCGATAAGAAAGAGGCGAAAAGAGAAGCGGCGTCCTTCAACTTGACGAAACTCTGATTCAACGACATAGCAAGAGAGAACGAAAAAGGAGGAGAGTGAAAGATTAGGCAGGAACTATTGCGGAATGTGCGACGTGTCTGTACACTGATCAAAGAAAAACTTTTAAAACTAAAGTATAATAAATAAAATCTTAAACAAGTATCTCAAAAAATATTTTTTAAATCTACTGGTCATAAATGTGAACTCCGGGTTACAAGTTTACAAGTTTTGTTTTGAATTTTTTTTTTTTTTTTGAGACGTAAGATCTGGCTGAGCACTTAAATTTTGCATGCTATTCTTAAATCCATAGCCCACCCGTAACACTTGGGACGCTAATTCTATGACTAATATCAGAATTATCAAACTTATATTTGCAGCTACGACTTCTGCAATGAGTCACACTTGGATGTTTCTCAACTCTGTTTCCCTTTGCCCCTGTGCTTCGATAATAACTTGAACAGCTTTGTGTAGTTTCAGACGTTGACTTTTTTCCCATTTAATCTTTGTTATTGTAAACGGCATTAAAGTCCAAAGTTAATCCTGTTGGCTAATTCGACAGCGTGCATTGAATACCGATAAGATAATGGAGCAGTAGCAGATACTGAATGACTCTACATATGGCAACAATGCTAAGCTGCCAAGATTTAGTCGTTTGATGAACTTTTCGTTTATCAGCCAAAGCCACATACTGAATTATTTTTCCATCAACGGAGATTAGGAATTGTTCATTTATGTTATAAATAAACTTTGTAAATCTGATTCTACTGCAAAAATAATCTCTATTTGTGTTTATTCAAATTTTCTAAATCATATTCGAGCACAGTTTAAAAATATGTATAATGAATGCATGTATACTACACATATGTACGATCCATTTCTGTTTTTGCGCTTCATAAATTATTTCAAGAGTCATTGGAATGGAAAAGTTTACATTCTTTTCTAAGAAAACAAAACGAATTTTAAATAAAACACAAGCTATATATATGGGCTCTGTGCTCATACATCTATATCAAAATATTTGCCAACATATATGATTTTTGAAACCTATTTATTTAAAATAGTAGGAGGGAACACAATACTATTTGATGTAATATATACAAACAAGTACAGGGTATAACCGTGTAAGCTAAATAGTTTAAAGCAGATGATTGGCGTATTTTATGTGATTAATAAAATAGAATACATACATATTGTCTAAAAATAAAATATTACCAGTAGAAAAACCGAAAAATGATTTTTTTATACGATATTTAATATACTATAAATACAGGGTATGCGACGGTCGATGTCCTCTATAACAAACGATTGTTGTTTAGGTTGGTCTAATTGGCAATTGTTTGTTATTTCTCGACTTTATATACGTTAGCCGACGCCGCAGTTGGTATTTACTCATATAATGTTCCCGATCCGTTGGGCAGATAAAAGTTTTGTGAGGCCCAGACATCATAAACTTGATAATGGATAATGGATATGACTCAGTCGAAGTTGCAGCGGCGATCAAGGGGGCACGTGGCGAATTTCGATAGCTAAAAATAATTTAGTTAAGCACTTAACTATGGGAGTTCATTGTCCAAATATATACAGTATACATATCCATGTGTGCATAATTCATCATCAGCGGCAGGAATTTATATTTTAATAATTTGATTAAACAAAATTTATGATTACAAGTATGAACGTTGAATTTGAGTCCTATTCACTTCAAAATACAGATTCACGGTCAAATGATGAATGAAGCATGTAGCAAGACATAGTAATAGTTTATTTTAAAGTAGTATACTAGTTTTTCCTAATCTTTAGAAGGATTCTAGTGTAACGTATTTGCAAATAAAAACTGCGCAACAACAACAAGACGGATATACAGAATATTATATCGAAAATGAGGAAGAAAATATACATACATATATGCAATAATAATAGTCTATATTATCATAAAATCTCTTATTATTTACTTATCTGTTTTACATATTTATCTCTTATAAGAAAAAGGTTAATTAAATATGTAAGTTAATAGCTTACAAAGCAATGTTAATGTACATTGAAGAGCTGTTATTAACAGGATATGTAGTCATTCTGTTGATTCCATACTTTCAATAACAGCCCAGCCTGGACCATTTTTATTGCGTAGATAAACAAAATTTGTTTATGGAAATGTTTACACTAGATTGTACAATGGGTCTTATTGTCTGTTTCTTATCTACACTTTAAATAATCCGCCAAAATATACATATATGTATTTTCTCTTCCACAGAGAATTAACACATGGGCCTGGTCAAGAACTGGAACTCAAACACAAATAAAATAAAAACGATTTGCCAATAATATACATACATATATATATTTATATATATATACATAGATATTTCTAGTTGTAGTTAGACATTCCGCGTTAGCCGCCATGTCGGAGAAGCAATTCGATCAGAATAACGTGCCTCTGAGCCGCATGATTGGCGCCTACATATTTGGGCTGTTGCAAACCTTCTTTCGTTTTATCTTCCGGTTAATATATGGCGCCAAAGGTAAAAGCATGCCGCCCATAACGGATCCCATACTCCTCGAATCGGCCACATCGCTGGCCAGAAAAATACGTAACCAAGAGGTATAGACAACTAATCTTCCTGATGTCAATTTAGAAATCAATTTATTCATCTCACTCTTTATAGCTCAGCAGTGTTCAGGTTCTGGAATCGTTTATACGCCGCATCAAGGAAGTGAATCCGTTGCTCAACTGTGTCGTGGATGAGCGCTACGATGAGGCACTCAAAGAGGCAGCCGCAGCGGACGCCTTGATAAAGTCCGGCCAATATACAACAGAAGAGCTGGCCACGCTGAAACCATTTTTGGGCGTGCCCATCTCAACAAAAGATTGCATAGCGGTCAAAGGTGCAGTAGACTACAAACTATTTGGTTAGGCTCCACATAGCTAATGCCCACCGATTTGTTCACAGGCATGCTCCATACAGCTGGATTATATTCGCGCCGTGAGGTGCGCGCGGCAGAGGATTCGGATGCGATGGGATTGATGCGAAAGGCGGGCGCGATACCCTTTGCGCTCACCAATGTGTCCGAGATGTGCATGTGGTGGGAGAGCAACAATACGGTGCACGGCAGGACAAACAATGCCTACGACACGAACCGCATTGTGGGCGGCTCCAGCGGCGGCGAGGGCTGCGTCCAATCGGCTGCAGGCTCACCATTTGGCTTGGGCTCGGACATTGGGGGATCCATTCGGATGCCCGCGTTTTTCAATGGCATATTTGGGCACAAGCCCAGCAAGTTGATCGTATCGAACAAGGGCCAGTTTCCTAGTCCGTTCAGTGAGGAGCAGAACTCGTTTTTGGGTCTGGGTCCCATGTCACGTTTTGCCGAGGATCTGCGACCGATGCTGCAGATTATGGCTGGGGAGCGAGCGCACCTATTGCGGCTGGACAAGCCAGTGGAGCTGGATAAAATAAAGTTCTTCTATCAGGAATCGGATGGCGGCGGTCGCATGGTCTCCGCCGTCGATAAGGATCTGCTGCTGGCCATGCGCCGAGTGGCTGACCATTTGAGCAAGAAATTCGGCGCTGGTCAGGTGAAGCAGGTTCAGCTGCCGCAGATACGCCAATCAGCGGCCATTTGGTTTGCCAACATGCGAGATGACTCCGGTCACGGTTTCAGCTACCAGCTGGGTGACTTGCGCTACGATATCAACACCTATCTGGAGCTGCTCAAGTGGCTGGTGGGCGCCTCCAAGCATACACTGATTGGTCTGATCACTGCCGTAATGGACAATGCCCAGTGCCAGCATGGCTCCTCCAAGTACAAGCACATGGTGGCCAAGCGGGATGACCTGCGTGCCACACTACAGCAGCTGCTGGGCGACAATGGCGTGCTCATCTATCCCACGCATCCCACTGTAGCGCCCTATCACAACGAGCCCCTGACGCGCCCCATCAACTTCTCATATACGGGCATAGTCAACGTGCTGGGCTTCCCGGCCACAGCTGTGCCGCTTGGCTTGGGCAGCGAGGGCTTGCCGCTGGGCGTGCAGGTCATAGCGAACTTTAATGAGGACCGATTGTGCCTGGCCGTAGCCGAGGAGCTGGAGCGTGCCTTCGGCGGCTGGCAGCGCCCCGAGGTGCGACTGTGATGCGGACGCTTTTATTATAAATAACGTACATACATATACACAGCCGAGCATTTAGCTTTTAGTATTTGGGAATTGTATCCTGGGCCCCGCAAAGAACCCACCAAACACAATCTAACCACGGCTTAGTGTTTACTATATACAAACGATCTATCAGCATGTCCTCTTTATATCAGAATATGAGATGTGTGTATGAATGTGAATTGTAAAATGTGCACATTAAGTGCATTTTAGTGCCTCGTAAAATCAAGATTTCGATGTATTTTTATTGCTATTATAATTACTTTGTATACAATATGTTTTTAACCATAAACTTAGCAGTAATCTAAGCTCACATTTGATTTCGCATTTAAAATAAAAAAGAATTGTTAACAAACTTTTGAAGTTTCGCTGTTGGCTGCGCATTATTTTAGCAACCTCTAGTTGTTATTCGCCGGCCACGTGGCAGGTACATTTGTATGTATGTAATTGTTCCAGCATTTTCTATAGAAAAGTGTTTTACTCCTAAAACTCCGAAATAACAGCATACTGCTGTTACTAAACCACGTGGTATCTAATTCGCCGCGCAGCTCTAAAGGATGTTAAATAACACCAGAATTACAGACACTTAACAGAAGAACAAAAACGGCACGAGTTGATGAAAAATTTACGTTTGAAAGCAAAAAATATATCAAAGATCTTATAAAATGCTGCCAAAATACAAGCCACCTTGACGCTTGAACACAGTACAATAAACAAACATCCATATTGACTAAATTACAAAATTATTGAATCTTTTCGTACACTTTCCAGGCAACACGCACGTGCCACAACATGAGCAAGACAGACCCCATATCGCTCAGCTTCCACGACTCCTGTCTGCGCATGTCCGACGTGCAACTGCTGCACGGACCGCGCTGGCTCAACGATCAGGCAAATAGCTCAATGGACTAACTAAATAATTCTGTATACATTAGAATATATATTTTTCTTGCAGATCCTGAGCTTCTACTACGAGTATCTGTCGCATGTCAAGTACAAGAACAACAAAGACTTGTACTTCATAGCGCCCGAGGTGACGCAGTGCATGAAATACATGGACGACTCCGAGCTGGAGATGCTGCTGGACAAGAACAATGCCGCCTACAAGCTGTTCATATTCTTTGCTCTTAACGACAACGGCGCCACCGAAGAGGGCGGCAGCCACTGGTCGCTGCTGGTGATGTCGCAGCCCGAGAAGACTTTCTTCCACTTTGACTCGTTTGGCAACAGCAACACGGCCACATCCGTCAAGCTGATGAATAGGGTGAAGGACTTCCTGGGCATGCGTCTGGCCAAGTTCTGTCCGATGCGCTGTCTGCAGCAGGCGAATGGCTACGACTGTGGCATCCACGTCATCTGCATGACCGATCACATAGCCGACTATGTGAGTCGCTTTGAGATGATCAACGGGCTGCCCGGACTGCAAATCGATACTGTAAAGGCCAAGCGTGCCGAGCTGCTTAAGCTGATCCTCTCACTGGGCGGCAGTTGTTAATCCGTCCAATGCTTCGTTATATATATATTCGATGTAATACGAACTATCAGTACCAAAGGCAGATAAGTGTGTGTTATGTGATCGAAATGTTTAAGCTTAACGGTATTGATATGGGTTAGATATAATTCATTGTTTAGAGTATTGTATTCCCCCATCTGGCTGTGCATCATAATAAAGATATTGATGTTGACATGAGCTCATCTGATTATGCGGAATATATGTATGTATATTTGAAATTATCTGATCAAGCGGAACAAAATTATTTTAATTAACTGTATTATAAGAATTTAATAACTCTATATAAGAACTTTAAATATTTAAAAAAATATTTTGTACGACAAACTTTAATAATCCTATAGGTAGTATGTAGTCGTATTGTGTATTATAATTATTTCAGGTGCACACAATAATTATTTTATAAAGTATATTTCTTATTGTGCAACAAATGAAACTGCAACAACAAAATGAAAAATGTAATAATAGAGATCTGCATTTGGAACCAGCTGCGACGATTCACCTTATAGAGACCGCAAACCCAAAAGTCCAGCTTCGAAGTACAGGCGTACAGGACAAAGGCGTTCAGCTGCAGGAGAAATATATAATTTCTATATATACATACATGTACACTAGATATGCACCTCCCTTGACCAATGCCCCTCGCTGAGGTTATGCTGTATCGGGCTCTGGTACCACATGGTCTGGTCACACATGAAGTTCAATAGATAGAAGTCCAGTAGATGCACATAGTAGTTCGCAGCCCCGAAGAGAGTTAAATAGATAGGTGCGTCAACGCTAAATGAGAAGACTATGCCCCAATAGGTATTAATCGCAAAGAATGCCAGATTATCAAAGCGAGCAGCCAACATAAGCAGATCATAGATCTTGTTGAGCCTCTGAGTGCAGCGTGTGAGCAGGCTGTGGAGCATCCACAGATGCTGCAGATGCTCCAGCTGGCGACGCGATGGAGATCCTTGAGTCCCCCTACCCAGATGCAGAAGCTGTCCCAGCTGCTTATTGAGATTCTGATAACAATAGGCGATGTCCCACAGAGCCAGATAATAGCGATGGACGGCGAGCAGGGGAATATTCTTGGCGTTGCTGTATAAGAAGACGCACAGCACGATGCTCAGCTTTGGCTCATTGGGTACCGCCAGGCAGGCTAGGAAGCTGGCCAGGCTGACGAACAACACAGAGCCCAGCTTCAAATTATGCAAATGGCGAAGTGTGCTGTCGACAGATCGCCCATTTCGAATATCCTGTGCAAACCCTCGGTTCAATCTCTGCACGGTCCTGTCCGCCTCCAGCAGCGCTTTATCCCGACAGGAGCGTGAGATCAGAGTATATGCTATAGTCGCATAGGACACCGTGTAGAGTATATATGTTGTGTAGGTCAACAAATTTGGAAACCAGCTGGCTATCCTGACGTACTGGGCGGACATCCAGAAGACAAAGGGCAGCAGACTGAGCGTCAGGACATTCACGACCAGGACATAGCCGCGCGTCAGCCACGTCTCGCGATAATTCTTCGATACTCGAAAGTACGAGCTAACGCCTAGAATTACCGAATAGCCTTGACAGATACGCAAAAGGAACCCGCCGACCATGTTTCACGGAGAATAATACGTAACTAGATGTTGTGCTATAAGTTATGCAAAGGGCCTCATTACCAAATGCTGATTATATCGCGGCTAACGCATCGCCAGATATCAACTAATTACTATTCAGGGAGTATAAAGTATTCGTAATACGCTTTACACAATGAATCGATTCTATAACAGTTCAGGTCAGACGTACCTGTCCTTGGTATATTAAAAATATATATCTATATGCTATATACATGAATAATCATAGTTTCGATTTACGTTTCTGTCCTATTATTATTATTTTATATTTTTAGACAATCGACACTCAATAAACTTTTAAATACTGCATTCACATTCATTTTACACATATCTTGAATGCCACTGGACAAACAAGCAGAAATATTATGCGGTCCTTCCAGTGATAATAATAAACATGAGAGCTTCCGGCTTGAATAAACAAATATTTATTCCGACCAGCCAACAAAAAACTACATGAGTCGTACTTCTTTCAAATGGACTCGGGTTGGATTTTGTCTCTTCATTTCGTTTTCTGTGCTGTTTTTGTTGTTGCAGTGCCTCGCACTGGGCAAAAGTAAACATTAAATTAAACAAATTACAATCATTAATACAAATATCGCATTCATGCTGACGATCAGCTTGCGTTCAACGCCTGATGCAAGCACCCCATAGACTACCTCACCTCCAATTCCTCTCTCCAGCTGTCTTAAAATGTAAGCGTATACTCTGAGTCGTATTCACAGTGCGTTTTACAGTTAGTAACGTTGTTTATGAAAGGTCACTTAAGGCTACAGGATATAACATAGAAAGCAGTTAATCGTGTTTAGTCCTTGCCGCCCAGCGATATGATTAGCTTCAGTAGTTCAGCGCGTTTGGCCTTCACTGTATCGATGTGCAATGTGGGTAGACCCTCAATCACCTCATAGCGATTCACATAGTCGGCTATGTGATCAGTCATGCAGATGACGTGGATGCCACAGTCGTAGCCATTCGCCTGCTGCAGGCAGCGCATGGGACGAAACTTTGCCTGACGCACGCCCAGCAGATCCTTCACCTTAGCCATCAGCTCCATCGAAGGCCCCGTATTGTTGTTGCCATACGAGTCGAAGTGGAAAAATGTTTTCTCTGGTCGCGAGAGCACCATCAGCGACCAATGGGTGCCGCCTGCCTCGGTGTTTCCATTGTCATTCAGTGCAAAGAATATGAATTGCTTGTTCGCGGCATCATGGTCCTCGAACACCATCTCCAGCTCGGAGTCGTCCATGTATTTCATGCACTGCGTCACCTCGGGCGCTATGAAGTACAAGTCTTTGTTGTTCTTGTACTTGACATGCGACAGATACTCGTAGTAGAAGCTCAGGATCTGCAAGAAAAATATATATTCTAATGTATACAGAATTATTTAGTTAGTCCATTGAGCTATTTGCCTGATCGTTGAGCCAGCGCGGTCCGTGCAGCAGTTGCACGTCGGACATGCGCAGACAGGAGTCGTGGAAGCTGAGTGATATGGGGTCTGCCTTGCTCATCTTGTGACTGCCGCTGCTGTTGTTATTGCTGTTGAGTCGTCCAGCGTTGACTCTTTGGACAGTCCGGCGCGCAGTCTGACTTTGATTCTGACGTGCGTGTTGCCTGCAAGAGATTTTGCAAGACGGAGAATGTAGAAATCGAATGTAAATGCGTTGCAATCAGTGCACTTATTGTTGCTGCACCTCAAAATCTTTCTGTCGTTTGGCAACATTTTACACAAAATTTATACGTAAGGGGGATTTTCTTTTCTCACTCCTTTTATTGTTTGTAATAATCACAACTGAAGCAAACTTCAGCGAGCTACGAACTCCGAATGTTACCATTCAAAGCCAACGTTGTTATGTTAAGGCTATGTTACGTGGCTGTTAGCAGTCATGTTTTCGTTTTCGCCGGCCGGCCGGCGGGCCGACCAAGTTGCCACAGTTACTGCACCTCCAAATTATATCTACATACATATATACATAAGTGCTCATGTGTGTACACTTACAATGGAGAAATAGGTATTCCGCATAGCCAAAATATCCCGCAAGACATTTCTAATTTCAAGTGTAACAAATCATTACTCAAAAATATTACTACAACGTATATTCTTAGAAAATCTATAACGAATAAATCTATTTATATTCATTTCAGCACAAGTTGCGTTTGATATTAAACAAGAGGCAATCGTTAATTTTTGTAATTTCGTTGTACACACAGTATATATAAAGATTCGTTTCAAGTCCTACAGATTTTAATAGACAGAAAACAAAAACAAAAACAAATAGACCCCAATCTTGCGGCATTATTCGGCAGAAAGAGCATAGCACAACAAAAGAGAACAAAAAAAGTGAGCAAACTGGTCTCATGCATACATATAAGAATCGGCAGGCAAAGCAGAACTTACCAAAAAATATGGCAGACTCTAGTTGATATTTTTGTAAATAGCTTGGAGGCTTGTTGGGCGCAGTAAATTTCGAAGGGATTATCATTGAAGTCTTTGCAAGTTAATAAATAGTAAAATGCGACCAATTCGAACACTATTTCAATCAATTGGAATTAAACACTTTTGCGTCTTGTCTACTTCACTCTAGTTGGAAATTTGTGAGCAGCCAACTTAACGCGAATTGAAATCTGCGCGCAGCCAACTTCAAGTAAGCTAAAAATTTCTAGGGCCAACTTCATGTGTGGTGAAAATGTAGCTAGGCGGCATAATTCAAAAGCAACTTTGAAAATTAAAGCTTACGTATATACAAAAACAAATTTGAAACATTGTCACTTTGACTCCCGAAATGTTCTAACTGGTTCTTGATAAATTTAAAATTTCAATATATTCATCATGTCCGAAAAGGAAGGAAGTCGCACCAGAAGAGTTTCGTTTGTTAATTCAAAGGATTTCGATTTAACCGATTGCTGTCGCATCTGCAAATGTCGGGCAACTGCTGAAAATGGTATTAAATTGCGTCCTCTATTCAATGGCCGTCGACTAACACGTATTATTGCCAATACAGTTCATATTGAGGTATTTCTTATATATATTGAGAAGCTATGGTATAATATTGTAAATCCAATCCCAGATCAAAGATATTCAGGGTCTGCCGCGTTTTTTGTGTGAGAAGTGTTTGAACATTTTAAAGACGTTTTCCATTTTTCAAGTTGACTTCCGACGCTCTGAGGAGGATTTCAAAATGACTATCGAGGCACGTCGCACTTCTCAAATGGATGCTTTGATAGAATTTTCATCAGCCATCGAAATGGAAAAGCAACGAGAAAACGATCAGAAGAGCGCGGCTCTTGTCACAAATTTTCTAAAGAAGTCAAAAAAAACCAAATCTAAGCCGAAGCTTCAAAATCGAGAATTGAGCAAGTGACGCATTCATTCTTATCTATTGGGTTTAATCATTTTAAGAATTTGTTTAATTTTACATCAATATCTACAATATTTTTCAATTAATTCAGCAACTGGGCTTGAAATTTTCCGGACACATATTTTTCACTTCAATAACGGCCTTAAGTGGCCTGGGCATATTCTTATTTCATACGACAATCGGAGCTTTCAAAGAACAACATGACGTCATCGACAGCCGATCAGTTGCCGTTATGGATCAATTTATTTACCCATTTCAGTTGTTTGTTGATCTGCGATAGGCGTAGAGAAAAATAAATAAGAAGTTCAACTGAATTAAAATGTTTACCAATTTTGTCAATTGCTTTTGTTTCTTTGTACTAAACAGATCGACTGCAAATGTAAAAATGTTTTTAGGCTTCTGTTTATCGGCTTGCATTATAATCACGCAAATTCTAGTACGTATCTGATATCTTATAAAAACTTTAAAATATTTGTATGTTGCCACAAATACCTATGGATGTCTTCCCAAAAATGTCCAATCTCCTTTGCGCAAACTTTTACTTATATTTAAAAATTTGATTAATTTTACATCAATATCTACAATATTTTTCAAAAAATTCAGCAACTGGGCTTGAAATTTTCCGGACACATATTTTTCACTTCAAAAATGGTCTCAAGTGGTTGGTCCATGCCTGAGCATTCTTTTTTCATATGACAATCGGAGCTTTCAGAGAACAACATGGCGCCATCGACAGCCGACCAGTTGCCCTTATGGATCAATTTATTCACCCATTTCAGTTGTTTGTTGATCTGCGATAAGCGTAGATGAAAATAAATAAGAAGTTGAACTAACTGAATTAAAATGTTTACCAATTTTATCAATTGCTTTTGTTTCTTTATACTAAACAGATCGGCGGCAAATGCAAAAATGTCGCTGGGCTTCTGTTTAACGGCTTGCATTATAATCACGCGAATTATAGCACGTATCTAAAATCTTATAAATAAATACTTTAAAATATTTGTATATTGCCAAAAATACCTCTGGATGTCTTCCCAAATATGTCCAATCTCCTTTGCGCAAATTTCTACTTATATTTTTTATGGTATTATCAATGTGTACCATATTTTCTTCATCGCTGTTTTCTTCGGATTCGACCGGTTGCTCCGAATCTGATTCGTTATAGAGTTCCGATGCAAACAAAAATTCCATTGTAATTTTCTTAGCAGACAATTTGATAAGCAGCCAAAGTATGTTATGTGTAATATAAAAATTTTAAATTTGTCCTTTGCCAGAAATAAGCAGCCTACTTTATAAAGAACAAATTAATTAAAAAATCAAAAAAAAAAAAAAAAATCAACCCAACTCCGTGACAATGCGTATTGCAGCATTGCCGTGACCAGGATTCGAACCTGGGTTACCACGGCCACAACGTGGGGTCCTAACCACTAGACGATCACGGCTACGCTGGGTTGTTGAATGCCTCTGACTAAAACGCACTTTTGAGAGACATGCGCATAAAGTGAAAACACATGAACGAAAGACAGATGTTTACCATGTCAAAGAAAAAATAAAAACTGACTTGCTATTACTTAAAAATTTATTTTATTTTATTTTTAAATTATTTTAATTTACGTTAACGTTACTAGTGCTATAATTTTTTTTTTCCTTTTATTATTTACACTTATTTAGGTTTGCTATAACTGTTCAGATTTGTTTTTGTTTGCTACGATTGGTTTTGTTGCATTCGTTGCATTCAAGCGCTCCCTGCGAAGCTTGAGTCGCTCCTGGAACTGAAACTTTAGCATTTCGAGAGGTGTGTTTAGTGAAAATTGCATGTCAGGTAACTAGCAAAAAGAGTAATACATTAATTATTGTTGAATATATACAAATACGAATATGAATATATATACAAATACAAATTATTGATAGTGCTTACGTTATAGGTAGCCAACAGGAAATTGCAACGCACACGTTCGTTGGCAATTCGCTGCACAATCGTTTCCATCTCATCTGTGTTTAGCATATTCGCGATGAGAGTATACACGCTTTCGTTCTCCTTCACCCGTTGCTCTTGGTCTGCTGGATTTTCATCATCGACCGGTATTGTTTCGAATTGTATTTCATTTTCAAGTCCGTTGCGTACTGTAAGTTGCGCTTTTCGAGATCTATGGCGTACATGGTGCGTTGCATGCAGCGGATTGTTGATGTCTTTGTTACTGTTTGCAGCATTTAGAGGAGAGCTGTTAGTTGTTTCGGATGATGTAGATCCCGGTGTTGTGGCTATATTGGTCTCAGCTGCACTTGAAACCGAAATCTTTCTTTGTTTTTTGGGTGTGTGCTCATTTATTTCAGCAGCACTGGACTCTGATTTTGGTAAATCTATTGTTAGCTCCGACATATCCTCGTCGGAGTCTGGTATTTCAATAGAATTATACATGGTTTTGTGCTCATTCGCGCCGTTCTTCTTCTTACCTTATCAACATGGGATTTTAATATCATCTTGTTATATGTTTTCATTAATCGATAGTGTTATAATATATATCGATAGATATTGATATCGTTGTCAGCGTTGCCAGAAACTTCTAGGAAACATATGCTTTAGTTGATTTTGTAATCAAACTTAAACAATAATAAAGTTGAGTTTTCTTGTAAACAATATAGAACAGAAAGAAAATGATGCGCTACGAGGGCAATGAAAAGCTGGCGGATGAAACAGCTTGCGCCGGCGTTCGTGCTGATTTGAAAATGTGCCTGCTGGAAAGCGAGTGCTGTCGCTTGGACAAAAAGACACCGCGGCAGTGTCTGCAAGACAACAGCGTACCACCTGAGTGTCAGGTTCTGCGCAACACTTTCTACGAGTGCAAACGATCTTTGGTGAGCAGCAATATTGATATACGAGAACTAGGGAATGAAATGACGTTTGTATAATTTCAGCTGGATAATCGACAACGCTTTCGAGGGCGCAAGGGCTACTGAGAGATGGATTGTCAGAAAACCTTGAACTTATTTTTATTGTTACTTAGCTTTTATTGAATACAAAAAGAAACTGACTGCACAAATTGAGCTGATTAATTACGGCGGCGACGTACGCGTGATATACGCCACGCGTTTGGCTCCTCGTACTTGTTGTACAGCGGCTCCAATCGTTGATTCTTCTTGAATTTACTGAGCTTGGTGGGATCAGAGAAGCGGAAAAAGGATGGCGCAAACTCCACCAACCATTTAGGATCAATGGTAGTTACCTCACGCATATACTCTTTTGTCGTTTGCACCAGCTCATGGTAGATAACCCATTCGGGTTGCCGATTGAATAGCGCGCTTGAAGGATGTATATAAACCACTTGTGAATCGACCAGGGTCCGATAGCCTTCTTGTGGATCTTTTTTGGCCGCATTACGAAAGAAGCCAGAACATATGGCCTTTTGTATGCGCACCGAATTTTTTCCCGCAGAAACAACGTCCAGCTTATGGCGATCCATGATGCCGAGCAGTTGCTTCCGCACATCCTGGGAACGTTTCAGTGTACGGATTTGCACGAAATTCTCATAACACCAGGCATTCGAGAACTTGTTGTTCTTCCAGCTATTATAGACCGCCAACAGAGTTAGATGATCACCTGCACGGATAACAGTTAGATATATCCATATATGTCTATATTCCCGACTTACCCTCTGCTTGGTTAAACTTGGCCTTTTTTTGATCGGCCAGCGCCTGCTTATCCTTGGGTCTGTAGAACACGTTCTGTACGCTGAGCATAGATACAATGGTGAGGATCTCATCCGAGCACTGCAGTGCGACAGACATGATGAGCATTTTCGATAGATTTGGCTCGAGAGGAAACTCTGCCATACGACGACCAAGGCGTGTCAATAAACCCTCGTCATCGAGCGCAGAGAGCGAATGCAGCTGTTCCAATGCCATGACCAATGACTCCACGGGAGGGGCATCCATAAAATCAAAATGCAGCAAGTCATTGATGCCCATTGTTTTCAGCTGCAACACTGTTGTTGCAAGATTCGTACGTTGGATCTCCGGCACAGGCGTTGGCAGCATCTCATCCCGATAGGCACGCTCCGTATAAAGGCGATAACATTTCCCAGGTCCCGTACGTCCAGCACGGCCGGCACGTTGTTTGGCAGCGGCCTGGGAGATGGGCGTAACCACTAGGGAATCCATGCCCGTCTTGGAATTGTAAACCTTCTGTTTTACAAAGCCGGGATCAACCACATAGAAGATGCCATCGATAGTGAGCGATGTTTCAGCTATATTTGTGGCAATCACCACTTTGCGACTGCCCGCCGGCGCTGGATCAAAGATTCGGGTCTGCATCTCGGAGGGAAGAGCCGAATACACAGGCAATATGATTAGCTCGGGCACATCTGGACCCAAGCTTTTCATGCGCTCGTAGAGTATCTCACAGGCGGTGTCAATCTCCTCCTGACCCGTTAGGAAGAGCAGTATGTCGCCAGGCGGTTCACGTAAATGGATTTGCATCACAGTTATGAGCGAAGCGTCCAAATAGTCCGTCTCTGGCTCCTTAGTATACAACACCTCCACGGGAAACGTGCGTCCGGGTATCGTAAAAATAGGGGCTTCAAAGAAATACTGCGAAAACTTGACCGCATCCAACGTGGCCGAGGTGACAATCAGCTTCAATTCAGGACGCTTTTGTACGGCTGTTTTCAGCAGTCCAAAAAGCACATCCGTGTGGATCGTGCGCTCGTGAGCCTCATCCAACATGATGACAGAATACGACTTAAGCTCCGCCTCCATTAGGCACTCGCGCAACAACATGCCGTCCGTCATGTACTTGATTACTGTCTCCGGGCTGGTACAGTCTTCAAAACGTATTGTATAGCCCACCTCCTGGCCCAGGCGACAGCCAAACTCCTCGGCCACTCGCTTAGCCACGGACATGGCAGCCACACGACGTGGTTGGGTGCATCCAATCTTGCCCCTGGCCGTGAACCCACACTCGCCCAGATACTGCGTGATCTGTGTGGTCTTGCCGGACCCCGTCTCGCCAATTACAATCAGAATCTGGTTATCCGTGACGGCCTTGATGAGATCGTCACGGAGCTTGTAAATGGGAAGAGATTGGCGTTGCTCGATGAGAGTCAGATCGGTCTTTTTGCCAAAGGAAGATTTCTTGCCACCGATGACGTGCTTCTTCCACTCGGGTACCTCTTGTGGAGCAGCACCCATACCGCGCATATTGGCCGCCAGGTGGCGTGAAGAATCATCTTCGGGTAGCGGATCGATCCAGTTCTTGTTGAGATTGCTAGGCACTGCTTCCATCTCCTGCTCCCGCTGCAACATTTTCTGCTCACGCCGCTCTTTAGACAAAGCGGACTGCATCATCGCTGCTTGGGCAAGCGAGCCATCTGGATTTTTAACTATTCGCACGGGAGACAAGTCATGCAATGCTCGTCCATGCCCGGAGAGGAAGGGTGGCTCCTCTTCTACGATTTCTATTTCAATGTCCGCCTCGTCGTCCTCATCCTTGGGCAAAAGGCCTGTCTCTTCATCGAAATCGGGCATTTCACTACGGTCCAGCACACCCGAGCTGATCATTTGCTTGATTTCCCATCGCTCTGGACTGGAGATGCGCGTCACTCGCTTGCGTGACTCGTGCTCATCGCCATCAATGTTGTTGCCCTGCAGATTTAGCATGGAGGAGGTGCTGTTGTAAGGTCCATCAGGATTTCGATCCCGCAATGTCAATTCATCCTCCTCGGGTGCATGTGACAATGGATTGAGATCGCGCCCAGTTTCTTGATCCACCTCCTTCATTGACAGTGATACTTTTTGACCCGCTAGCGACATGACCTTCACTTTTACTGTCTGATTTCGTGCCACCACCTCAGTCACATCGGTGACACGTCCCTCGGCGCGTAGCTGCGAGATGTGTACCAGACCCTCCCAACGCTTGCGCACACCAAATAGCTGCACGAAGCAACCAAATGGGACTATGTTCGCCACCTTGCCGGAGTAAATCTTGCCCACCTCTGGATCATCGCTCATCCCAGTTGCTGGCGGTGGCATTTTCTCCTGCTGCTGATTGCGGGTGCTGCGTTCAGGAGATCGGGAACGGGAGCGTCGTCTACGTTGCTCGTGTCTGTCCTGCCGCTCTCGTGAGCTAGAGCGGCGTTTGCGATGGTCACGGTCATGGTCACGATCACGGTCGCGGTCACGATCACGATCACGGTCGCGGTCACGATCACGATCACGGTCGCGGTCACGATCACGGTCACGATCACGGTCGCGGTCACGATCGCGATCGCGTTCTTCTCGAGATCTGCTGCGCCGCCGACGATGTTCCTTATCCCGTTCTCTATCCCTTTCTCGTTCTCTTTCTCTCTGATTATCCTTTTCTCGTTCTCTATGCCGATCACTCTCCCTCTTTCGATCCCTGTCTCGATTCCGATCACGGTCTCTCTCGCGACTTCGACTGCGTTCTTTGCGTTTGTGGCGGTCCCGTGAGCTCCTACTGTTCTCTTTTACTGACTCCTCTTTTCGCTCGCCAGGTTCCAGAGCCTCTAGCTCCAGCATGGCGGCATCAACGTCGCTCATATCGTTCTTATTTATTGCCAACTTCTGCTTTGACTCTTTTTCTTTATTCTGTTCGTCCTCGTCCATTTTGCAGCTGAATTTGTCATTGGGTAGAGCTAAGCCGGGAAACATTTTCTTTAGCTGCGATTTTTTATCTTCCTTGCTATCCTCGCCAGCCGTAATTTTTGCATCGTATTCAGGTCTACTGGGTCGCATTAAATTGATAATTCGCTGCAAGTTTTGCACCAGAGAATCGGGAAACTCGGCCCCGTTTTCCAGTAGCGCCTTGCGAAACGCATCGTAGCTGCGATTTTTGTGTTCCAAATCGATGATGAATTCAGCTAAATCCTTGTCATTAATTCCCAAGTGATTGTCAAGCTCCGTGCAGATTTTTGACACCAGGGACAAGTATTCCAGCTTCTGCAATTCGTCCATTTTACATTATGAGACCAACAGCCGCAATGTTTATATATTGAATTTATAAAGTCCTCACAAAACGTTTGTGAAGAAATGTGAAACAAAAATATAACATGCAAGCCAACTAACTAGTGATGAGTGCGTGCAATCACGCGTGATATCCCGTTTGGTACAAATGGACCGAAAATACATGATACAATGCCTTATGTTTATAAATTTTTTGGTTTAATATAGAATTATTAAAGGATATTATTCATAGAGATATAGTTAAAAAAAATCCAGATATAGCAATTTTCGATCATGTCGAGAATCTTTTCAAGGTACAGTGCGTAGCACGGCACGCAGTCATGCAAAACATCAGCAAACAGCTGATTTGAAGCAGTGTTTAAAAACTACAATGTTGCATAGTGTGGCAACACTTTTGTAATCTTGACATATTTTGATCAAGCTACGCTCGCTTTTTAATGTTTTGTATATTGTTTACAAATTTCAAAACATCTGTTTGAGTTTGAGTGAGAAATTGTATATTGAACGCTTCGGACATGTCCTCGTTTTTCGAATGTTTTAACAATTTCGTGCAGAGCGGTGGGCACATATCACAGAATGTGGCCCATGAAGATACCGAACAACAACTGTCAACAAATTCAAATATGCTATCTGCAACATCTGCGCTTAGTGATTCAGTAAGTGGTGCCTTATTATGCCAAATTATGAAATTATTTTGATATCAAACATGTACGGTAGCGAAATATATAAGTTTAGGGGCACTTGATTGCAAGGCTTGGGGCTGCCAGACTTGAGTGACAATTACATGTCTTGTTAATTTTGCTAGTGTGGCAACGCCTTACGCACACGCCATATTTTAATTGCAAAGACGCAGGCAGTGATTTGTTAAGGAAAACTAAAAAACAGGAATAATAGAAAATATAAAATTACTAATACAACTTCGATAAAAATTAACAAAAGGAGTATTGTTACAAGTTTGTGTGTGCATTGGAAGTCGTCGTCAAGAGCGCTGCGAAGCAGCTTAGAAAGAAGAAGCAAACCTGCAGTCTGCGAGTAACAAAATAAAACAAATTAAACCAAAGAAAAAAAAATAAGAAATATTACACACAAAATGATGCAAATTAAACAGGCGAAAAACAATAAAAGTGAAATTATTATGGTCGAGAGGAAACCAAAGATGCAGTCGGCCAACACAAACACTTCAATTATTACATACAGTCCTAGCAAATTTATTGCCAGGGCTGGAACACCATACACAAAAATACAAACACACACACAAACACATACAAACACAAATATAGCCAGAGCGTCTGCTCCAACAACATCAGCAACAGCAAAAATGCCAACAGCTGGAACCGCTAATACCTCTTACTATGTGGTTAAGGCGGGCCAGCTGGGTAGTGCGGCTTCCATATTGAGCTCGCCGCCAAAAGCAGCGACAGCAGCCTCGGCCGCGTCTGCAACGATTTCAACAGAGAGTGTAATAATACGTCACTAGTAATTCTTCAAACCCTCACTTCAGTTCCAGATTTGTCCTGCATGAGTCTCTCACTTCACTCACTTCATTCAATCCACTAACCTGTTTAAATGCTCTTTTTTGTGAATTTCCTCTAATATATACATATGTAATTATTTTCAGACAAGCACTATTTCGGCACCCAGTGAATCCTCAATGGAACATACCTATATGCGCGATGCTCCGCGATCGGACAATACACTAAACAATGGTTTAGCACCCACTCGCACTATTCTCGTCCGCCATGCACCGCAGTGCCCCACATGTCACACATATCCAGCTCACGAGGATTCGGGAGACTCAGTACAGGCAGCCCAAATACCAGCCTACGATGAGATTGCGGCAAAGGAAATGATGAACGAGTGCGCACGCATTGCCAAATATGTGCGAAATAATAATTCCGATGATCAGGATTGGCAGGAGCGCATCAATCGGTAAACAGCTATATACGATCAATATTTTGCATTGACTAACAGCTGCCTTTTCTCAGCACTGGCTGGACAACCATACAGCAAACGCTGTTTGATAAAGTTGCAACCATTTTGGATCAGGATCAATTAGCTCGTTTGGCTAACGATAAGCGCCAGCATGAGGCAGTGCATCGACGAGTGGCTGTTGATAAGTCCAGTTCGCGTATGCGACGTGCTTTAGCCAGCGTTGCTTGGGAGCCGCGCACCACACAGTGGCTGCATGCGTTGCTCATGGAGCAGCTGCCACCTTCATATATGGCCTCCTATTTGGATATTATACAGACGCTTAAAAGCAAACTGCCGACACTCATTGACAAAATGCTCTTCAGTCGTCCGCTGAACAATTGCCAAGAGCTACTAGCTCCTGTTATGAAGCAGCGCTGGCAACCGGATATACTGGCTAAGTCACGTCATCTGGCACACAATGCCATTATGGTCGCAATACCAAATATGCCCACCAGTGGCCCTGTGCCGCAGCGCATGCAAAATTGGTACGAGGCCTTGGCAAGCATAACCCAAATAGTCCAGATCACGCTGCCGAATACGAGTAAGTGGTTCATAGTTAATGTTACTATATAGATTCCTAATTGGACGTATTGCTTACAGACGATCGCATTGGCGGCCAGAATCTGGATCAAGTGGCCGAGACGATTGTCTCGCTGACTCGTGTACGCATACACGAACTGCGCATCGAAGATCCCAATCGTGGCATCATACTCATTGGCTTTAATGCCGGTTCAGCACTCGCTCTGCAAGTGGCCATGTCGGAGAGCGTTGCATGTGTGATTTGCATGGGCTTTGCCTACAATACGTTGCGCGGGCCACGTGGTGCACCCGACGATCGTCTGCTGGATATCAAGGCACCCATTTTATTCGTCATTGGTCAGAATTCGGCTCGCAGTAGCCAGGAGGAAATGGAGGGCTTGCGCGAGCGTATGCAATCTGAATCCTCGCTAGTCGTCGTCGGCAGTGCCGACGACGCACTGCGTGTGCCTAAGAGCAAGCGTCGCATCGAAGGCGTCACCCAAGCCATGGTCGATGCTATGGTCGTGGTAAGTCTCGGCATACTAAATTTCCTATTGCTGTCGATGATTATATTTAAACATTGCTGAATATTATTGCAGGATGAGGTCTATGAGTTTGTCAACAAGACGTTGAGCAATCCGCCAGGTCCACGCATGCCTACTTCTCTGCTGGGCAGCAATTCGTACCAGCGGCAGCCCAAGCAACACCAGCATATTCTGGCTGATGGGAATATGAATAAGGCACAGATTACACCAGCACGCAAGCGTAAGGCAAATGATGTCGGGATGGACGAGAGCTGTATGGCCACTAAATCGAAAATTGTGCCGCACAGTGAGTCACGTTTTCAACTTTCCATTTACATTAACATTTGTAAACAATTTTATTTAACCCCATGTATTGTTCGTCGTTATTATGTGCACCTCTTATGCACTCGATCTGCTTTTGCATGTTGCCATCCCACCTGCTATCCACTCACCAATCCACTTACTAATTCAATACTAATCGAAACCTGAAGCTCGCGCACCTAAGATGCCCAAGCCAAAGCCGCCGCGTCTCATTGATCCGTTTGCGGTGAAGCGAAAGGGTAAATCCTGGTTATACGCTGGCTGTCTGAAGATTGGGGATCGTAATGGTTATGAGTTGTGTACCATTGTACAGATAAAGTGCTAATGACTAACTTTCTTAAGTATTAACCTTCCTACATGCTTCACGTAATTTTTCTCATTTATTCATTCAAGCATTATTTCGTTGTTATTTTTAATTAATGTAATCATTTTGCATGATATTTAATTTCATTGTTGATCTAATTTGCGCGCACATCATACTCGTAATTTAAATTTACGGTCCCTGTCTTAAAATGCTGATCATTCCATCCCGTTTCATCAACTAACAGTACGCATCTCCACAGTTGGGCGCCCTCGCACGCGTCCACTGCCTGGCGGCGTGCCAGCAACTGGCATCAAGTCAAACCTATTGGAGAAGAACGTGCTGACCAATGAGGAGATGAACATGTCCATTGAGTCTATGCTGGAGGAGACACTCGACTATGATGATAATCAGCAGCCAACGACAGGTACTGCGACCACAGTGGTAAAGTCAGTGCAGCCAAATGTAATAAAGCCCGTGTCGACGCCAACCACTGTGGCGCTGGCAACAGGGACAAAGATCAAGATGATACCATCCAGTCAGTTCGTGCAGCTGAAGTCGCTGCCGGCCCAGAACAAACTTGTTAACTACACCATCAGCAAAGGCAGTGGCGCCGCCAGTGTGGCCAGCACAAGCATTGGCAGCATTGTCAAGACGCTGCCACCGTCAAGTGGTCAACAGATCTTTACCCTCAAAGCTCCGTCGGGACTCACAACGCAATTTGTGACTGCAGCTGCTGGAAACACTGCGAATGCTTCGACACCGGCTGCAGCGGCAACCCAGCAGAAGTATACCGTGGTAAAAAATTCCAGCGGAATAACCATGTTGCAGATGACCAAGAATGTGCCAGCAACACAACCAACTGTGGGCAGTAATGTGGATCTTTCGAATATCATAGACATGCCAATTGTGTTTGCCGACAATGAAGGCAATTTCGCCGAGCAGCAGCAGCAACAGAAGCAGCAGGGAGAGCCCATCAAAACAGGTAAATAGTCCATAGAAATGTATATCCAGTGAACGGAGATTGAATCAAATTTGTATTGCAGTAGCTACCAGCAGCAGCAGCGCCAACAACCCCCTAATAATCAGCCAAAAGATCATCAAGGAAGCTGTCAATTCGCAAATCAAGCCATCCAGTATTGTGGCCAACGGCAAGGGCATTGTGATTAATAAAGGCATTCAGCAGCTGTTTACCACAGCAGCAACAACTGGAAATAAGCTGGTCTATTTGAATCGCAGCAGCATGAAGCCATTGGGAACAGCAACAGGAAGCACGCCGATAACTACATCGCGCCTGTCGAACGGTACAACGCCACTTCCGATACGGATTATGGGCAGCGCTAAGCCGGCAATAGGAACGGGCACCGCGAACAGTCCATTGCTGCTTGATAGCGCAAATGTGAAAGCTTTGAATCTGCAACCAATCAAGACAACAGGAGGAACGCCCGTACTAAATGCTGGCACGGCGGGCGCACTGCGTCTGGGCAATAAGACATATCCGCAGTTTCAAGTAATCAACAATCCAGTTATTGGCCCCAGCGTCACGGGCGATGGCAAACAGCAGCAGCAGCAGCTGCGCAACGTTTTCATCAAATCCGCCACTGGGCTGAAGCCCGTGCAAATGCTGACCAACCGAGCGCCGGCAATACCCGCCATTGCGCCCGGCGGTGCTGCAGTGCGTCGCGTGGTGAACATTGGCCCCATCTCCAAGCAAACCACTATGACTGTCAACTCCCAGACAATCAAGGATTCCAAAATCATAAAGGCGTCGCCAACGACAACAGCATCAGCAACTGCGGTGACGGCAGCTACAACAACGGCAGTCTCCATGGGAACTCTTCCGCAGAGCAAGGCCTTGGAGTAGTAGCCCTCCTGCACACCTCTGTATCCAGACTTTTTTGTTAAGCTTTCATTTAAATTGTAATTGGACTCTGAGACCTTAAGAAGTTATGCCATAAGTTATTTTATAGCACCTGTGTACATAGAACATGTTGATCTTTTAAATATACATATGTTCACATTTTAAAATAATGGTCTCAAGATTAGGGTAATTATTTGTATAATTAGTGTAATTATTTTTACTTATAGTTCTGTTTCATGTGGAATATATACATACATATACATTTGCTGTATTTGAAACATAATTTTACAAATGCACGGAGAGCAGTTTTCCAAGCTCAGTAGAGCCTCTACTGAAAAGGACTAAGAAAAGAAATGTTTTACTTAAATGTAGATTTGATGTCGTCCGTTGTTCTAAGAAGCTATCGTCCGCACAGGAAACAAAATCGTGAGAAATTCGTCAGGGGCTCTCAAACGTTCTTACATAAGACCACGAATTCCAGTTAAGCAATAACAACGAACACAACGAATCATATTGGTCAGTTGCCTGCGTAAAGCGGAATTCAAGCAAGAATTTCAAAACATATACATAAATATATTTACATATATACATTTGTATATACTTAAGTATATATATATTTAACAGTTGGCGCTTTTGTTATATAAGTGACGTTTCACACGCTGCACTGGGTTAGTGCTTGTCAAACTGTCGTCAGCTAGGAGCATTTCCCTTTTTCGCTGAACACTGCATTTTCTGTTCGAATTGCTTGTTGTAAACCATCGTCGTGGGGTAGTTTGATTATACATTGCGTATAAAGAGTTTCCAGTAATACTTGCAATTTTTCTATAACATATATTCTACTGTATATATGTATGTAAAGTAACATAAAATTTTGTTTTTTTTTTTTAAAATTGTTAACAAAGTCCTTTTGAATCAGTACTTTGTTAAATAAGCTTATGTATTTTTTTTTATTTTTTAAAATACATTTATATATTATAACTTCTTCATTTTCATACATTTTTCTTTGAGTTAGTTTGAAAATAGGGTATCTACCAGTCCATAGTCTAGCAGTTGCCCTTCGGGTCGGGCTGTTGCATGCGACGCGGCTAATATTTCATTGAAGTGCAGCGGAGCCGAGCAAGCAAGTGCAGCTACAACAAAAGCTAATGCTCATGCCCAATGTTTTTGTTGTCTGACAAGACTTTTCGATAAATCAGCAAAAATTCAAATTCGCAGGAGAAGTAAAAGCAACAAGACAAGACAGGCTACAGGCAAGAAGCATTTTGTTGAGTCTCCCCACATGCATAAATATCTGATTATGCACACACACCTACATACATATATATGTATATCCATATAATAAGTTGTCTGATATATTTAATTACATTTATGTACAGTTCCACGATGTGAAGTTTTTGTAGTTCAGTTGACGCGACGTCGATTGTCGAGCTCCAGATTCGAGGCCAACTTTTCAGTAACGCGGCCAAGTCGAACGTGTGAGGAGCGAGTGGCTAACAGAATTTGTTGAGTGAAAGCAAGAGTTCAAAAATATATAGACACAGTGATAACACAATTTAAAAAACAAAACTAAGAAAAAGGAACTAATTTGGTTTTTATAAATCAAATAGACAGTGTGATAAAGCGGAATATTAAAAGAAATTTGATTACTTTTTTTTTACTTTCTCCAAATTGTTGCACTTCTCAATTATAAGTCGAGAACATTTTCCAACTCTTTTTACTTCATTTCATTTAGAAGGAAACAATTCTAAATTACGTCTTTGGTGGCATTATAAATCTGGACAATTTTCAAATTATCCGAAAATTTGCAACATTTTTATTTGACATAAGTTGACTTACGCAATTGTGCAACACAGTGCAAACCCCAATTCCCAGGCTCAAAAATCACACAAAATGCCAAAACGCAAATCGAATTTGATTTTTGGGCTGCTGCACTTTTTTATGCCATATGTCATATATATACATATACATATGTATGTATATATATAAAAAATATATTTTTCTTTTACATTTTTCGCCACCTGCGGTTTGAGCCGTTTAATTTGCGCCAATTTGTTGCCACCAATTGCTGCTCCACTAGTTGCCCGGCCACAGTTAAAGCCAGGCCAAGCCAAGATCTCAAATTCGACTTCAACCGCGACGGCAACAGTCAAATCGCAACTTCGACATGTTCGCAATTTTTAAATTAATTTCTTAACATCATTTTCGCTAGTTTGCAGCACTTTTCAAGCTCGAATGATATATGTGTTAAATGTGCCTATTCCATGATTGACATCGTATTAGCCGAGCTCTGGCAGCAGGAAGCACTTTATTTAAATTTGATTTATTTGCAAGTGTGTAATTCAGCTGGACAAGTGACAAGTGTCCTTAGAGCTTCAGAGTGAGAGGTAGAGAGCACTGCTCAATTAATTAGAATAAAGTAATTGCAGTGTTACCTCTATTAGTGAACAATTTTAGGGGCAACTGCACCCCTATAGTTGCATACTTTGCTATGAAAATCCTCTATAGAGTTTGATAATGTGGAATGTATGGGATTTAAAATATTGAAAATTTGTTTTTATTTTACAAGCATCTTTAAATTTTTCTAGAATAATCATCTTAGATTTACGTATATTGTTTAAATGCAATAGATGAAATCCAAGTCTTTAGCTTACTTTAACATGTAAATAAAAATAATTGAATTCAATGTTTAGTCACCTTTTTCCAACAATTTATAATATCCATATTGAAATCAAAATGTGTGCGTCAAAGCGAAGCTTTACTTTAACTGGATTTTATAGAGGAAGAGCCTTTAGAAAGTGAATTTCTGATAAGAGTGCCAGAGCGTCCTTTCAGCCAGGACTCCCCCTCCCCCACCAGCACGACAAATACTCAATCATTGCTGCATAATCAGATGGTCGCCTGGCAGAAAATGCTGCTATTTGCGTATGAAAAATATTGAAAGTGCCCCTCCACACACACACACACACACACACACACAAAGTCCCCACTCTCTCCCCTTGATCCTCTCAGCTATGCATAGAAAGCAGGACAAATACATAGTTGCAAAAGAGCCAGAGAGGGCGGGAGAGACAGAGTGAGTGAAAGAGAAAGAAATGATAGTATTTTGGTTACCACCCACATTTCGCGTTGCATTTTCACATCATTTGCATTTTATTAAGCTCCCCAAATAGTGGGTGGGCATGGGTGTGACGTGGCATGCCCCATTTGTAAAACAAACTATCAGCAATGGCAGCAACCGATGCCAAAAATCAAGCCCCCACCGCCACACCTCCCCTTCTCTTGAACTGCATTTTTATTAGTATTTGTGCAAAGGATTTGCAAGATATGCAAGAAAATCCTGCTCTGAGCGAACTTTCCACTCACTGATATTAACCAAACGGAAAATAGCGTGGAAAAACGTGAAAAGCGATTCGGGAATTGGCCACTACCTCGCACTCACGTGATGCACTCAAAACGCCGACGAGGACGTCCAAATTCCATTTTCTCGTTTTCCTCTGTCGTTTTGCGTTGATTTCATATTTCATGTGATGTGACGTAGTGGAACATTCCTGGCGTTTGCCCCAACAATCCGCAAGTGCTAAGGAAAAGAACCCCAAAGCGTGACTGGGCGACAACAACGAAATCGAGGATGAGATGATGTCGCACAGCTCTATCAAATGTCAGGAATAACCTTTGCCTGCGATTGAGATGATGGATGAAATAGCAGGTAGACTGCTTGCAGTTTGACAGGCACTGAGACAGACAATTCGCAGTAAATATTTAAAATACAATTTCTTAAAGACAGCCAAAAAGATTCCTAGTAATTTTTCAACAAAATTAAAAAGTAATATTTGAAAATTATATAAAATATATTAAAACCAAAATATATACAGGGATCTCTTTGACAACTGCGTTAAGAGCTATACTTCATGATTACATTAGATTTTAATTATTTTTTATTTTATTTTATTCTTTTTAATTGGACCTCAGATTGTTCAAATAAAATTATTCTAGTTTTTTATTTTATCACTTCTAAAAATAAAATATTTACTGAAGATAATTAATTTTGTAATGTTTAGTTTTTATATCGAATAATAACAAAATTAGTGCATTTATTAATATAAAATTTATATAATAATTAAAAGTTCATTTTAATAATTTGTATTTTATATATATATGTATTAATAATTAAATCCTAAATATTTATTTAATTTAATGAATTACATGGAAGTTTGAGTTTCAGAAATTATTAGAAATCCATTTTAGTATAAATGTTTTTAAACTCTATAGGAACTAATTCACTTATTGAGTCCAATTCTATTAATTTAAAAATTTTTAAATTAATGCAAAGTTCATAAAATTTAAATAAGCAAAGGTGACCAAGTAAATAACTAACAAAATAAATAGCTCCATAAGCTGCATATAATTATAATAAAATAACATGAAAAAATAAATATTAAATTTGTATATATTTTAAAATGTGTTTGCTTTTATATTTGCAGCTAGTGCTTGAGAAATCCCGCACGCATCTCCAAAAAGAGCTGCCAGTCTGTCTACGCCTCAGCTGGAGATAAGAGATAAATGATGAAAGATAGAGAGAGAGAGAGAGAGAGAGTAGCGGCTCATGCTGCGTGCCTGGTGCTCTTCGGTTGGAGTTGCAAACTCATCCTTTGCCGCCTGTTGGGAACTACTGGCCGAAAAGTTTGACAGGCACAAAAGCCGCCAGAGACAAGGAGCAGAAACAGTGGCTCTTGAGCTGTGCAACAGCGCAACCTTGAGGCAGTTAAAAATAACAATCAGCCGCGTCCCCAAGGATTTGAAATGGAGCAGCCGAGTGTCCCTGACAAAGCCTCCTGCCATTCGCCACTAGCTCGCCTCTTGAATAATATGAATTACAATGTGCTTGGCAGCGCGTAATTCGCTCAAAGCTGAGCTCGCATTTTGGTCAGGTATGCGATTGTTGTTGTTGTTCTCGTTGTTGTTGCTTCTGTTCCTGTTGTATTTCTGCTGAACTCGCAACGTGACAGTTTACAGCTTGAAATCTTGGTTTTTACATAAATTTATTGCCTAATGCCTTAGTTGGCTACCTCACAAATATTTTGCATAATCCTCAGCCCAACTGATTTCAGATAAAAGCCAGATGCGGGGAATCTGCGGCCAAGCAGCAGCAGAAGCAGCATCAGCAGCT